TAAAAAAATTTATTATATTATCAATTATTCAAGTCTTAGTGAAGATGTTGTACATTTAGATTGTACATAAATTTAACTCAATCAACTTATGATTAAAAATAGCATTAAAATTTCAATTAGATATTGAATAAATAATTTATTAACATAAAATTTGAAATTAACCTTTATCATAAAAAATTTGTTCATCAGAAATCATAGACATATTCAACGAGAGAAGTATGTAATTCGGCTCCTGCTAATTTATGTGAGTTTGAAAGTTTAATGTCAAAAACATTAGACAATGTTTGAGGGGACGAGCTGCATCTTGCGCCCTTACAAGTTAGAACCTAACCCTACAGCAGGTTACTCAAAAGCATAGACGAACTTACACAGGTTAAACCCTAACATTCTTTCACTTAACTCATGAGTGATCCTTGGTTGAAAACTATTTATAAAAATATGTAATTGTTTTTTGTGTGATTCTTATGATAAAAAATGTTTTGTTAATGTAAAATTTTTCATAAAAATGTTGTAATAAATTGAAATTGGTATGAGTGTTTGTTGATGTTTCAATCGAATAAAAACATGTTAAATCTGACTTTTTTTTCTAATTTTTAGAAGAAAACATGTAAGTCTTCTTTAAAATTTATAAAAACTTAAATAATTTGATTACAGAGTTAAACAAGCCAATAGTGTCACTTCTCATGAGTGACATACTCTCATTAGTGACGTAAAATTCCAAAACCATTAGTTTCTAACGTGTAGATCTGTTCAATAAGAACAGTAAGTCACTATTGCCAATAGTGACATGATACTATTCAATAGTGACAATTTCAAGTGAAATTTTGGAGTTAAAATTCCTATCATGATCACAATACATAGCTATGAGAAAAAAAAATGTGACATACATTAATATAAAGGTATATCCTAACAATTCACTCTTTTTGGACTTCATTGAAATACTTTACTGCATATATTATCATCAATTTTTTCACTCAGATTTTTGTGATTTAATCTGAATTCAAACGCAATTATAATGCTCACGTCACGAATAACACAGATGTGCAAACGAAGGCAATTTTGAAATCAAACAACACATTTATATAAAATGTGCTAGGACTGATGTAATGTATGATAAGAAATCGTTACATTTTTTTAACAAGTGACACCTTTCAATAGTGACATCTAACCTTAACATCAATGTATGTTATTATTAGTAGGTTATATTTAAATTATGCACCTCCCAATAGTGACATCCAACTCTAACACCAATGTAAGTTACTATTAGGAGTTTATACTCAAAATTATGCAGTTTACTCTTGTGAGTGACACCTCTCAATAGTGACGTAAAACTCTAGCACCAATATACGTTACTATTGGGAGGTTTAACCCTGTATTGAATATGATTTTTTGCTTTTATCACAATAAAACTAAAGAGAGACAAGTCTGTATATATTTGTTAAGCTTGTCATCACAATGAGATGACAAACTTTGAAATTTAGAATGTTTCTGGATTTTTTAATTAATTTTTATGCAACATGTTGATTTTATATGGTTATCTCATCTAATCAAATTTTCCAATAAATTTCATTTATTCATAATTAAGTATTCTGTTAAATTCTTTATTATATTTTTTTGTATGCATTAAATTCTTTTTTTTCCAAGCACGTATGTGATGATGATACATTAGCATATATATATTAAAATTCATGAACAGATGATATCAAATGTAATATTAGACAAAAACTAAACAATTGTAAACGAAAATCAATAGACTTCATCCAAATCATTCAATAAAAATATCACAATGTATGATATAAATAAGCTGGTAAAATTTCATAGTTTGATATTTAAACATATATGATTAATAAATTTCAACTATTATATTATTTCTTTAATAATTCTACTTGTAAGATCAAAAGTATATTTGGCTCAAATCCGTTGCAAGTTAAAAATAGAGATGAATTAGATTGATAAGAATATATCAAAAAGATTTTCAAAAAATATAATTATATTATACACTGTATGAAAAAAAATTTGATGATACGTGATGTGTTATTAAAATTAATGAAGAATATTCAAGAAGTTGTGCTTGAAAAAGATTAAAACTATCATTTAAACATGTCATGAAATGATAAATCTAAGACTCTATAAGAATTTTAGTGTAATGGTTTGGATTGGAAATCATATAAATGGATTAAGAAAAAAATGTATTTGTTTCAAATCAAATGTGCATGATAACTTTAATCAGGTAACTAGAAATATGTTGAGGTCGATAGAATCTAATCTTGTACATAAAATTATTTTATATTTGTATTTAATAAATAAAAAATTAGGATATGCGTTTTAATCTTACATCTTTTGATCATTTGATATGATACCCAATTTAAGATATTCGACCCAAATGATATTTTAATCAGATTTTAGTTAATAGATGTTTGAGTTTCCATTACAAATAAGCTTACACAATTAAACTTGAATATTATATACTCTATAGATAATTACGATATCAAATTTAAAGTGAAGCTTTGATTTCATGGATAAATATAAACATATCTTTATATTTTTTTAATAATAAAACTTTGTTAATTGCAAGCATTGAAGTGAGCATATATTTTGTAGAAATTTCCATCACACATATTTTATGTGTTGTATAAGCATGCATATAAATGAAATATTAGATATTAAAAAATGATTGAAAAACTAAATTCCTTTTTATCGTTTAAAAATATTGACCTAGATATATTCACGGTTAGATGATTTAATAATTTAAAATTATTTTGAAATTATTTTGTGTGTATGTTTTATGGTGAAATCAATAGACGTTTAATTCAATGACTTTATGTTATAGAGAGTTTTTAATTTTACATTGGGCTTTATATAATAAAAAAAATTGGAAAATCATAAAAAGTGAAACATAAATTATAAATATGTGAAAATTTTATTTATATAGCCAGAAAAATTTTTTTGTATGATTATTTTCGTAGATAAATGGTTGAGTTTTCTTAATCCAAAAATATGTATTCTGTCCACATGAATTATCAAAAAAATTCTCATGTTTCATTGAAAAAAATTTTGATTTGGAAAAATGTATTTTCAAAGTGATCACAATTATTAATCATGTGGTAGTAATTTGAGTTATACAAATTTGACTATAAATAAATCAAGCTAGTTGTTATGTATTTAACAAATTGTCAATATTTATCATTTATTTATTATTAAAAAAATTGAAATCATTTAAGATTGTTTCATTTTTTAATATATAAAATTGAAAGTTCACACATGTTTTCATTAATGAAATGATAAAGTATGACATGAATGACCTTAGGGATTTTTTTTGGATGAATCAAATGTTGGGAAAACTTACATTCATTAAATTGGATGAAAAATGATTCCAAATAAAAACTTATTTTTGTTTTGGGTATGGGAGATATGTGAAAAATCAACACAAATAATAAAAAGTAAATTAATTATATGTGAAGATGACTTTGTATCTTATGATATATATATATATTATTTATTTACACTAAAATAAGTAAAATAAAATATATATCACATGTGCTATACAAGGATCTTGGATTAATCTTCAATTTTAAAATAAGCAATATTTTTGCATGTTGGATAGAAAACTTGCCAAAAAATTATTTTTATTTCAAAAACTAAGAATATATTAAAAAATTCAAGATTTTAGTAAATTTTTAATATCTTCTCACATTTTATTTTTTCTCATGATAGTATTATGTTTATGTATATATATAAAGTAGTATTGTGAATTGTGTTCATACAACATTTGTTTATATGAGAGCTATTTGTGATGCAATTCAAAATGCAGCAATACGTTGATATTATTCAAAGATGATGGTCAATATCTCAAATCATTCAAATTTTTAAAAAATTAGGCTAGTGATAATAAGTTTGTAAACATATACAATGAATTTCAATCTTATTAATTTGATTCAATATTTTTTTTCATATTTACAACTTTAATTTTCATTAATTGCACATTAAAATGTACAAAACAATATATTTCATCCAATGCAATTATTTTGAGTAAAAATTGGGTTGTACAGAAAAAGCCATGAATACTTTACTATTTGTAAATTTCAATGCCAAACTTAATGTCATGTAATTCAAATTAATTAATCAAGATGCCAATAAAAAACAACTCTTTTAATCCATCTTCCAATTTGCTAGATTATGACATTAAATTAACGTGTTTATTATCACATCATGCGATTTATTCTACTTCATATGATAATGCATACAAATATGTAAACACTGAAAATGTTTTGAATTGCATGAAAGTAGATTCAATGATTTCATGTCAATAAGAATATGTGGGAGAATGTTGTTGTTTATCAACTGTCATATTTTATTTACTGTTGACTTTTGTGTAACCATCCATTGCATATGTTACATGAGGATGTCTGATCTGACATGTCTAGTTTTGAAACATGGTTGAAATATTTAAAGCATGAATATTGGAAAATGGGTTACAATGTTGTGGTAGCTTTTGTACAGATTACGTAAATTAGATTAATTTCCTGCGTTAATTTTTCCACTCCTATCGTTTTTTTTGTTGTAAATCTCAATTCTATTGCTTGTGTTTTCATAATTCTATGCAAGAATAATCTAATTGCTGTATACATTCAAACAGGAGAATCAGATTGTTTCTTATACCGCGTTGATAGAAAATGTTACCCATATCCTCTACAGATATGGGTAAAAATGTCATAAGCTTATGTGATGAGCAGCAACCGACCATGGAACAGACATGGCTTTTTGTGAACGAGTGACTGATATGTGTTCATCTATCAAAGTGTTCATGCAACTCAACGTTCCACGTGCTTTGGTGATCTCTTTGAAAGGCGCCTATCATGTGAAGAATGAGCTCCTACATGCGTTCCTCTAGGGAGGAGGACATGTAGAACGTACAGTCGTTGCCAAGGTTGCATTCTACATGCTCAAGGGGGCTTGTGGTCTTAACATGCGTCTGGTTGGCTGATCGATCCAAGTGACCGTAGAATTGCCGCTGGGCCTTACATCGAGACTCACGTCAGCGTGGGGTCTTCATAAGTCTGAACGTACAGGTAGAGGTATCACGTCAAAGGTGTCCACGGTACCCTTCTCCTCTCGCCGGTCACCGTCTTCCAAACATAAAAAAGTCGGCAATCCTTCCCGGTGACTATTTCATTCTTCTATACAGTATTTTTCAATGTTTGTGTCTTCACGGTCGCCGAGATCCTCCTCTCTATCACATTGGATACTGGAAGCCAACTGATCATATCTATACTGCTCATTCGTCGTTCGTTTTCACGGTGAGCAGGTATTGTCGTGACGTGCAGTTCTCGTTCGGAAAGAGCACCGCCTCTATTTCTTGGGGTCAGAATCTTGGCTTCCCGTATTGCTGCTTAAAGTGACAGTTGGCGCCGTCACATTTAAGACTGCCGGAAGTGGAGGCGAATTAATGTGAAGAAGTTTTCCAGGAACTGATGGCAGTTTGCAGTTTGGAATTTGAACCAGTCGGCTCTGTACACAAACACAGAAAAGATCATGAAAGAGAAATTCTTGTTCATGGTGTTTTCGCGCGTTTATGTTATGCGCCTCTGTGACTTCCACTTGAAGAATACTACAAGATTTCAACACCACTAAATCTCTCTGGCAATGTGGCTCGGCAGATTGGGGTTGAAGAGGCTGCATCCTCTTCATGTTCTCTGTTTATGGGTATTCACACACGACGGAAGTCGTAGTAGAAAAAACCACAATTGACGATCGCGTTGAGAATACTGCGATCAGCATTGCAAGTCCTGAACATGTCCTTGGCAACTTCAGTTATCGTTCCTCCTTTTCACACCTGATGCTGAAAGATGCGGATTTCTGGATGAGGATTATGGCGAGGTTTGGATAACTCAGGGAACCCTTGCTGCTGACTTTTATGTGCTGTGGGAGGAGCGACTCAGAGCAGGATACTGAAGGCTCTGTCGACTTATATCCTGACCTTAGAGAATTCGAGTCACTAGCAGCAGTCACTAGTCACCATGGGACCAACTGGCAAAGAAAGAGCCAATCGAGCGTTCGAAGCCATGGAAGAATTGGGCCTGGATAGGAAGTCCATTAACCCGATTTTGAGAGAATTATTGAAGGTTAGGTGCTCTAATCTTCGAGTCCAGAACCTCCTGTGTGAATACACAGGACTATGTTTAATTTCGTCGTTCAATTCTTTAAGGTTTGAAGCACGTACAAGAGTCAATGATACAATGTGTTACATACGATGGGTGTACTTATCATGACAGAATAAGCCGGCTACAACCGGGGTTGCGTGTGACCTGAAACATAGAAGCGTTAATGCAGGTGTATAACAACGAATGGAGCTATATAGAGGCAGAAAACTACCGGTTACTTGCTGATCAAGCTTTCGAGCAGCAGGAGGCCGTGGTAAAAGCTTCAAGTACTCTTCTCTACAGATCTTGAGTTCGTGGTATCATGATATCACTAAGCTGTGTGAGAGTGAATGTTGATTTGGTAGCTTTTTCCTGTTTGTAAATTGTACCTATCAAAATCAGTCGTAATGCTTTCGTAATTAGTCGTAATCATTATGCTGTTTGTTAACTCAACCCTTAGGACAATCATGGCCTGGATGGTTCACTCGGGCCAATGTTATTCTGTATCAGTGGAGTGGTTCAATCGTAGTTATGGCTTTCCAGTCACGAATTCGACCTCCCTCAGTGATCAATTTTTTTAAAGGCTTGGCAGATTGGCTGAAAACTAGACATTACTGTCGGGCGTGTTTCATAATCAACTTTTGATTGGTTTGATATTTCAATACAGGTCACTTCAAAAACACCAGCAAGTCCTCGTCAAACTCGAGGCTCAGTCTCCTCGGCAAGTACTTCTTCTGCTGAGAAAGGGAAAAAGCCCATTTGTTATGTGGACTCAATGAGCTCGGAGACACGCACGACTAAAGACGAGAAGCCGCGAGCTCATTCTCAGGAGGTTGCAGCCAGGCCATTAGTAGGAGCTGGTAGAGGATCAGCAAAACCTGATTTGCTAGCCAAGGTAAAAACTGAAAAAGAGGCAGATGGGACGTCGGAACCAGTTTCTACACCGCTAGATGTTGAACATGCGGGGATTAGGCCGATGCGTGATAGGCCGGAGTTGTTGAAGAATGAAGAAACAAAGTTGGGCCAGTCATCACCTGCTGCTTCTGCTGCAGCTCCATCTTTATCACCCGGCAAGAAAATAGACGCACAGACTCTTGAGGAGACTTTGAGGCGAGTGGCGAGTACAAATCCAGAGATGAGCATCGAAACCAGAAGCACAGGGGTTGACAATGGCACTCTGCTGATTGTCAGCGAGCCGGATAAGAAGGCGACGTTTCAGGCTATCAAGGACAATGGCAATACAAAGCCAGATGCTGAGAAGATGGAACTTGCAAATGAGCTAGCCAAGGAATCCCTACTGCCAAGTTCTAGCAGCACTATAATGAACAACGGCCACCAGATTGTTGAAAGGTCTGTTCACGGTAAGGTCTTTCCTTTCATCCCCACTCCCCCATTATTCGTCCCCCTTATTATACTGCTTGCTAGACTACGTCTGGAGGTCAATTTATCCAAAGTGTAAACGAGAGTTGTGCTTACTTGCGTTGGTACCTCCTGCAATTAATTTTCAGAGCCTGCTAGTGACAAGATTAGAGGCGATGGTGTTGTAATGAGTGGAGGACACAGCTGTCCAAAGCCTATTGGCGATAATATTCAATGGTTTAATCCTGGGAAAGATGGAGAAAGCGTACTTTTGTTGCTGGCTGATAACTACTCTGAGGATGAAGAAGATGAGCTGAATGTGCCAATTAAGTCAGTGGAGCCTCAGAGTGGCAATTATGAGCCTGAAGTCCTCGATTTGATAAGGAAACCAGATTCTGGTCTCATAAATAAACCTAGGGAAGATCGGCAGCAACAACCTTTGGAGTCGATTAAGACTGACCCGGTGAATGAAGAGTCACCAAAACAACCACTCGATAAGGATTTCTGTGTTGAGGAGCTTGAACCTGCAGTCGGAACACCTGAACGAATTCGACCTAGGTTCATTTTGGGAAAAGTGGAGGTTGCAGCAGCTTCTGACGAAGATTCCCAACCGATTTCAGGTTTGATACGATTCGAGGCCGAAGGCACCCCTGCTACCTTGAAGAGAGGAATAGCAGATCTCGAGGAACCTACCCATCTGAAGCGGATGAAGCATGATATGGAACCAGAGGCTGGTCCAAGTCTTCAAAACGGATTCGTTTCCTGTAATGAGGTCAGTCTGAAAGATGTCACTCAAGACAACGACGATTGTCCCAGGCCATCAAGTGCAGCCGCTGTGTTTAGTTCTGACGATACCAAGAAGAACTTGACAAAGACAGAGAGTACTAGTCGAGCTAGTTCCAAGAGAAGTTTAATCACTGCAGATAGTAACAATTCAGCCGGTACCAGGAGGAAGTTGATTATATCTGTAAGTCCCAGTCCCGAGGGGAGTCCTGTGGGTAAACCTTGTGTTAATAACGATGTATCAGGATCCGTGAAGACCAATGGTTGTCTCAGTACTGCAAATTTGTTGGAGTTGGAAGCTGCCACCACAACCCCTATGTCTAAGACAAATGGAGCAGTTACTTCTGGAGGTTCCGACCTCTCAATACCTGAGAATGTGATGGCTGCAATCGCTGTGGTCAACACTGTCATACACCCAGACGAGTTTGAAGACGGGCCTGCGAGGAAGAAGTTAGCACATTGTCCAACTGACATATCCAGAGGCACAGAAAGATTGCCCATACCATATGTTAATGAATACAACAGTGATACGATACCTTCTTTATTCAAGTATATCCCTGTTAACACAACGTTTCAAGATGCATATGTAAATTTTTCCCTGGCAAGGGTTGGAGAGGAAGACTGTTGTGGGGGATGTTATGGAGATTGTTTGAAAGCTCCATACCCTTGTACCTGCACAAGGGAGACGGGAGGTGTGTTTGCTTATACCAAGGACGGCCTTTTAAAAGACGAATATCTGCAGCACGAAGTTGATTCGCTGCAAAATGAAGAGCTTAAAGAAAAACTCGTAACTTTCTGTCAGTCTGGCTGGGATTGTCCAATCGAAAGAGCGAAAAGTAATTTTCCTGAAAATTGCAAGGGGCATTTGTCCAGAAATTTCATCAAAGAATGCTGGCACAAGTGCGGCTGTAGTATGGAATGCGGAAATCGTGTTGTCCAGCGTGGAATTACCCGTAATCTTCAGGTGATTTTTGTCAGTATATACTCTGATTGCTTCGCTCTCCTGTAACCATCTTGTGAATTTTCCTACCTTGTATATCAATCCATGTAGGCTGCTTGTGTTTGTCTTTCGTGATTTTCCTCTTCGACCTTAGAGATGCTTCAGAGCAGGTTATACAAATGTTCATGCTTCAGTAGCTTGCAGCATACTTGAAATATGGCGACTAGAGAAATCGGGTGAACAGAAAAGGAGTGACGAAGGCCACTGATATAGGTGAAAGCTGAAGCTTGTTGCTTTCTCATTTTGCAGATATTTTTCACACAAGAGGGCAAGGGTTGGGGCCTTCGAACCCTGGAACAACTACCTCCTGGTGCATTTGTCTGTGAATACGTAGGTGAGATTATGACTAATATCGAGTTAGATAAGAGGAATCACGCACAGAAAGGCGAGTCAGTGGGTGCGCACACATACCCAATACTTCTGGATGGTGATTGGTGCTCGGAGAAAGGTCTTAAAGATGAGGAGGCTTTGTGCCTTGATGCCACCAATTTTGGAAATGTTGCTCGCTTTATCAATCACAGGTCAGTGTTTTTCTTTTCCTGATGATTCTATGAGCAAGACCTGGAAGTTCCCGCGAATCTATATTCGTGTGTGGCTACACTTGTTTGATTGATTGCTGTCGTTAAGGCCTCTAAACTCTGAAGTATACACGATCTTTTCCGGAAATTTCCAGATGTTTATACAATCTTCCTAGCAAATGCGAGAATTTTTTACCACGGTGTCCCAGGTTCAGTCGTGGTGTGGATGGTTAGCACCGAATTGTTTGTTTCCCAATGTAAATAATCATCATCATAGATAAACTCTTGACTTTCCCTCGTTTATGTCCATCACTCGTTTTGGATTTTCACCGTATCGTCGTATTAAGGTCGACAGTTCAGTTATATCTGCGTATATGAGCAATTTGTCAGCTTTTGGTCTAGGATAGGCACAGGGCTTCACTGCACAAGTGGCGGATAACTTCGACCTTTTCAGAGAGAAATGTTTACAATTGGTATACAAGAGCAAGCCATCAGTCCGTAGTAATGATCGTACCTAACTATGGCACACAGCACCAACAGACATTCATCAATCTTCTGAAATAGCATATAAGTTAATCGGTCTGTGCACAGGGATCCAGTTTTAGAACTTAGAGAGTATTGACTGAGTAAATATGCAGGTGTTTTGATGCTAATCTGATCGATATGCCCGTTACTATCGAGAGTCCAGATCGACATTACTATCATGTGAGTTGATGTCACCAGCTCTTCAATTTCATCCATGCTCGAATACTCGGTCTTTTTTGTCGTGGGACGTGCTGTGCATGTGGAGTCCTGGTGATTCTTACAGCTGAGCCCATGTTAGTACAGGTAGCTTTCTTCACCAGCCGTGCAGTGCGAGCAAATGAGGAGTTAACTTGGGTAATCTCTCTCTCACAAAAGCTTGGATAGTTATGGAGTTTCACACCTGCTCAGTTTCTAAAGTTAGAGTAGTACAGGATCAAATGCAGGCGTACTGTAAATATTTGTTCCGCGGTGCATCCTTGGTATGGTTATCTGGACCGAAGTAGTCGAATTTGTTATCGTCAGTTCTTTGAACAGTACCTAACATGCTGTCAATGTGTCGCATCTCTTGATCTGAGTAATTATTTGTTTCTTTGTTATCAATAGTTTTGTGATTTTCAGTATTTCTCAACTTTTATATGACAGACTTCATATTATAATTTTGCCTTTCGTTTAATTGTCCAAGTTTGTATTCTTATGTGTTGTTTTCTTATCAGTGTATATTACAAACTCTTTTGCCTACCATCTACTTTTTCTCATGTAATTTCTGCACTATCTGTATATGTATTTCTTCAGACTTTTGTGAAAATTCTGTTCCATGCTCAGTGCTGCATTAATACACTTCACTTTGTCGTATCGATGTTGAGGACTTGAATCATGTTACTATTTTCCTTCGTACAACATTGTTCAAACTTCTTCTCAATCCCTTGCATTCGATCTATTATCAAACGTAGGGTTTATCTAACTACAAACTCCTTTTAAGAGAAACGAAGAGTTCCAATGTATATCTAAAACTCTTTGGACTCTTCTGTTCCCGCTTATTTGAAAGGTCTTCTGAGCTAGGTGTCTTGAGTTCACTCTTCCTAGACTTGCTTACAAAGTTTTACTTATGTTTTGCTACTGCGCAGGATTACAAGATAGATTTTGATGACAACGAACATCCCATCGAAGCATTTCGGTGTTTGTGTAAAAGCCCGTTTTGCAGAGGGTCCTCCGGAAAGAAGGCCAAAAAAGTCATCAAGAAAACTTCCTGCTGATTGGACGGAGTAACTGTGAAAAACATTGCTTCTGTCCAGGTATAGACTTCAGCTACCCACGTGCTTCAGATGGTTTCTCTAAAATTGTTTTATCGAAGATGCCTCTTTTTGTATTTTAATTGAAGTTTGCTGGCCGGCTGCGCTGCAGAGAATCTTAAGTTCAGAACTCTGTACTGTAAGTAAAGAGAGCCGTACAAGTACCAGGCTACCACTTGAAGTGGACAACCCGAAACCTTTTTGACTGAGATATGTATACCGTCTGATAGGAACAGGCGGCGTGAGGACAATTACTGAGGGACTTAGTAGCTTACTTCGAGCAGGAGAATCATGAACATAGAGCTTCTCGTAATAGAGCGACTGCAACTCATTGGGCTTGCGACAACCCACAGACTCGATTGTGAATACCACTGAGAAAGAGGTATTCGCCTGTGAACGTTTAAGGGCTCACATCGTTAGAGTCAAAAGTCAAAACGGGCATTCTTGACTTCTGGAAGACTTTCCTCCTTCCAGTAGACCAGGGTTGTAAATCTAAATTGGGCAGTTTTTCGTGTATTGGGAAAACTTTGTACAGACGCATTCCTCTCGCAAATTTTGGAACGAGATTTTATCAAAGTCCGCTCATGTATATAAAGTTTGCCATCATTTAATTTCTTTATCCTCTTCTCTTGCATGGAAACACCTCACTTCCGGGGAAATATCTGAAGACAACAAAAAGTAGGCTTATAGTGGCCCAGATTTGCTGTTTCTGGTGAAGTGGTTCAAGTTTGTGTGAAATAAGTCAAAATATACACGCCGAGTCTTTGAACTAGTCATGACGAGTGGGGTATTTTGTATAGCAAAACTGTAACACTTGGATTCGTCAGATGAATGACATATTCTGAAAAAATCATTAAGCCCATTCGATAGACGAGCATATATATTAAATATCCAGATTTCACTCTTCATATTTCATGGGTTGAGAAGTATACCTATAGACTCACAATCCAGAGGCTACGATTAAAGTGTAGGTTGTGTTTGTTACTCATATACCCAAACTTTTCTTCATATCAAGTGCATCACATCGTTTATAATCGTTGAGTGCATCTTTTGAACCAAGCTCCCGGAATCGCGAACCACACATTACCTTGTAACATCGTCGACTGGGGTTGTAGACTGTTACCTTGTCATTTATTAACCGATGGACTCAGGGTAGATTCTCGGATTGTGAAGTGGTGAGGACTTGCGAAGTAGCTGGGAACTTGGGAAGTAGCTGGATTTTCAACAATACTCATCACTCTTTTGACTTCTACTGAGCAGTGTGCATATTCTGTAGCCCATTGATTCAGGATCTTTTTGAACATGTTGACGGATTCTGTTTTAACGTTAAGGGTCATGGCAATTCTTTGCTTCTGGTTGACCAAGGTTGACTTGGAGAGCTCGGAGGTTTCTGATCTTAGCAGTGTTATTGCCCATACAAGAACACCGTTCTGATAGAGAAATCATTCAAGAATATCTAGTTTGTATACTGTAGATGCCTTAAGACATATTTCATTAGTATACAAGGGACATAGCCTTCGGTTTCTCGCTAATATTCTTAATTGTACGGGCTTTATGGTCTTCCCATCGATGTTGTTATGCATTTCACTCATTTCTCTAGAGATGTAGTTATATATAGAGAAATTATCAGATAACAATCACATGAAGCCAACATATGTTCCTTGTGCTGACATGGATGGGAGAGGATGTATGCGGTTTGTGTTGTGATGTAGGCATCCAGTGATTAGAATCGCTTCCTCCAGGAAGTTCTGATGTCAGGACTAATGGAAATAATGTACAAGTTGACCATTATACGATTCATTTACACTTTCCCACATAATCCCAAATGAAACGAATAGCAACAATGAGGAATTTCTACTTATAGTCTTCAATTCAAGTATCTACGTTAGATAACTTATTGCCAATACCGCAATCGAGGGTTTTCTCTTAAGGAGCTCTCAACGAATTACCAGAGTAGGGTCCAATATGAAATCAGAGCAACTGAGATCTCTTAGTCAGTAGCTGATGGCAGATTTAATTGTGTGTCAGAGAGATTCCGCCTTTACAGTTTACTCGCAGTTTTACCACGGAACAGCTAAAAGCAAACGGCGGAGGTAGGAAGGGCTCGCGATACGGGCATCCCTTCGGTGAGGGCTATGACAGAAGGACAATTTCGAGCACATCATACAAAGGTACCCTGGGTGGTTCTAGCAACCGAAGCCGAAAGAACAAGAGGGAAGCTCGCAGTGGTAACAAGGCACCGCCATCAGCTTTAGAGGTTGCAGAGAGGAGAGGACCAACCTGCGCCAGTGGAGAGATGGTTTCCTTGGCTGGCTGACTATCGTGGCATTAAAAATTAAGATCTCAAGCAACTGCATTAGTGCGAGGAGGAGAAAAAGGCTTTTTCCCAACGCCCAGTTCCCGATGTGCTACTGCAAAGCTCATGACGAGATGGAATAATTTTCCATAACCCGGTTTTTTCCCAGGTGTAGCCCGTGGGCGTCGGCGTAACGTGGTCTTCTTTGAGAACGAAACCAGCCTCCCATTCCACCCACAACAATCCTCACAATACTCACTGAGACCAGGAACGAGCTCCAGTGCGAGGATCCAAGCGTTCCATCTCAAATCAAACAACGCATGCACCGATCTAATCAGTCATTGTCCATATTCATACCACTCACAAAACTTCGACGTTGTTCAAGCTTGTGCCGTAGAATCTGAACTCTCGCTCGGGGGTTGGGAGGGTGGAGAAGGGAAAAGTTGGTAACGTGGTTGAAAGGCTGTTGCTACGTGGTAATCTGCAGAAAAAGCCCCTTGTCTTGTCGACGTCCGGGGCCCACCTCGTAACGGTAACCCGGAGCGCGATCTAAAATGGACAATATCCAAAGTGTCGGTAACTTCGATTGACAAAAGTGCTCTACTTTCACGGTCGAAACGCAAAGTTAGCCTTTTGACTGGGGGTCATGCAGTCGATCCGGTGTATAACTAGTTTATCTTTCGGACGATTCTCCGATCAGTCTTGGAGGGAAGTGCATGACTCCGTGGTCGCCGCTGTGTACGTCCAGTGCGGCACTTTCGCTCCCTTTGCCGAGCGCCTGAGCGTCGGACGACGCTCGTTGACGCTGAGGAGAAGCCTGAGCTGGAGCCTGGTACCGCTCGCCATGCTGAGTTCCCAGGCATCAGAATCCGCGAACGTATCGATATATTACGGGAGCCGTTGAAGGTCAGTGTTTCTTTCCGCTGTATCCGCCGTCGTCCGTGTCGTTCTCGGATGCGTAGTCGCGGGGGTCGACGGCAGTAGATATTCGGAGGCGATTGTCGAGGTGTCTGAGACGCTCGAGTTTGTTCTCTCCTTTCGGCGGTGACTTGCGGTCGGAGCAATTAGCAGTCAATTTTTCACGCTCTGAAGCTCACTGTCTTTTCGATTTGGCTTTGAGCGCCGGAATACGAACCACTCGAGAATCCTCCGTTGGGAAGAACTCGACAGCAGCTTTGTTGTGTTCTCCACGGGAATCTATTGCTGTTGCGGCCGCCGAGATGACGGATGTAAGTTCTCTCGGCTCGTTGTTTTTATTCTGGGCGAAGACCATGTTCGTCGCACGTACTCCGAGCTCGGTGTAACTCCTTCTTGCTTTCTGTAGGACTTGTCCCGATTTTTTCAGCTTCCCCCTGTTTGAACTTGGTTGTCAATGTGCTTACTGGTATGATGGCATGTTTTTTCTCTAAACCCTGCTCTCTATAACCTTATCTTAAGGCAGGCGAAGACGATCCCTTGGAGATCGTTTGTGATGTCGTAATCTCGAATTTAGTGCCTTCCACTCCTCTGTCTGGTCCAGGATTCCTTGACGTCGGTGTTTAGTAGCCAAATGTGTAATGAGAGTCTACCGCTGATCGAAATCTGTTTTTTTTTAAAATTTTTCAGGGAGAGAATAGGCCGCAGTGCTATCATTTCCCTTCGTCTTGGTAGCTCGTATTTCACAGATGATATTAATTTTATAATTTGTAGCCGCGCAAGACTAACGTGTTGATTTTCTGCTGTTTTCCAGTGTTCAGTGCCTAGTCCGCCTAGTGCCTGTTGGAGGTGAACGAGTACTTCACGCTTACTACAACCGTCGATTTCTTCCCCCAGCAAGAGTTTTCTCCTAGAAGAACACCTGATTGTCGTGAAATTCTGAAGGTTTTTTTTAGCGCACTGCTTTCTCCCGCAGCTGGTAGAGCACTCACGTCGAAACAGTGGTGAAGTAACAGCGACTGCCGTACGGCCGATCCAAGTTGGAAATGTCCTTTTTGACAGACATTTATAATTTTGAGGGTTACTTCTTCAGCTTTCGTTACTCCGAGTGTGCTCCTAGTTGTCAAGTTAAAACTTCCTCATATGCCCGTGGAAAGAACCTAAAATCCCACAGCCATAGTGGTGCAATATTTTGAAGCCTATTTCGATCCCCCGAAAGTCTCGACTGGTTTTTACGCCACTTTAAGGAGGCCTGAGATCTAAGGGTAGTGAGGTACAACTCGGTATCAGCAAATCGCTCCCGCGATTGAAGGATGTTCAATAAACTATTTGGCAAACCGAAGGCGAAAAGCAAAGATGGAAAGCCTAGCGTCAAGACTGTGGCGACTGCAGTCTCATCAATGGAGAAAATTGGAGAAGTAAGTTGTCCAGATCTCTTTCAAATGCCGCGGCCATCACCTTTTGCATAGACGGAGAAGCTGCTAGCGTGTTCGCTTTTTAAAATTCTTGGTCCCGCGTATAGAGCACTGAGATTTAAAAGGAAGGCTGGGTACGGTATTACACTCGAGGTCTGCCCATACCGACTTTCAAGACTCTTTAATGAAGAGAGTGTCCTCTCCACCTCCTTCATTATAGCAAGTTGTGGCTCACCGCAAGAGTAGGCGATGGTCTGTTGTTACTTTCGGAATTACAGATAAATCTTCGAAATTTCCTATATCTTGCTATTTGCCTCGTGGACCTGGTCCGTGAATCCCTGCTTTAAGTTCTTTGCCCTTGTTTTCTGGAAGAAAACAATAATTAACGTTACTTATTGGTCATCTTCGGTGCAGAACCTTGACATGCTCGAGAAGAAAGAGCAGATTTTGCAGCGGAAAATCGCAGCAGAGTTGCAGAAGGCTACGGAGTATTCAAAAGCGAAGAACAAGAGAGGTTGGACAATTTTCTCTTTTCCCCCTTCAATTTTATACCCTTGCTACCAATATACGTGGTAGAATGTGATTTCTCCATAGGTACAGTTGGTGACGATTTTAACGAGTGTCCAAAAGACGCGTATTGAATCCGACGGGTGACTACTTCCTTAACTCGATGATATCCCGCCCAATTTGTAGCGGGTGTTCTTAGTGAGACCCCTTGGGTAATCTGAACTTCAGTGTCATTGGAACTGTTGGCAGCCATTTCTTCAAAATCTCATCTTCATGGTTTTTTCTTGCACATACAGCTGCGATAAATTGCCTGAAGAAGAAAAAGCTATTCGAAGCTCAAGCTGAGCAGCTCGCTGCATACCAACTCCGGCTGCATGATCAGGTATGATGGATGGGATTTGCTTGTCTTGCCCCAGTTTTTTACTTTGTTGTATAAACAGGTTATCCGATGTTAAAAAAAGGTACTGAGCATGTTCGGGCTATACAGATGATTTTGCTAGAAGGTGCTAAAGCGACAACCGACACTGTCGATGCCCTTCGTAGTGGTGCTGTTGCGATGAAGGCAATTCAGAAGCAAACGTAAGTATAGAGACATGTTTTAAAGATGAAAACCGTATGTTGCGCATATTTTGAGTAGAAAAGCTTGAGATACTTGGCAATAAATTGTGACTGAGTCTGTAAACCTCAGTAGCATCATAACAAACTATTGCTCACTCGGCATTCCCTGTGATTGCAGCAATATAATCGACGTCGACAGAACTATGGAGGATATAAGTGAGCAGCAGGACAACATGAAACAGATACAGGATGCTTTAGCAGCACCAGTGGGAGTAGCCGCCGATTTTGATGATGTAACTCTCTCTTCTTTCCCGAGAAATTCCTTTTATTTGGATGGTTTTGAAAGTGTTTTGAATGTTTGTGGAGAGTTCGGCTGTTTGTTGTGTTTTCTGTGGGTATTTCTGTGCGTATTTGTACCTTCTACGAGACTACTATATCCGGCCTAATTAATGTACCGCTCTTTGCCATTGAATATATTCTATGGTGGGGATCTGAACTTGCCAGGATGAATTGGAAGCAGAGCTCGAAGAATTGGAAGGCACGGACTTGGATGAACAACTTCATGAATCGATGTCCAACGTCTCCGTCCATCAACAGCCTTTTATGTCGAGTCCGGAGGCTTCGAATCCAGTTCCAACGCCTTCCGTCCGAACTCAACCTCAAAAGACCCCAGTCCACACCCGTTCAGAGGATGATGAGCTTGCGGCCTTACAAAAAGAAATGGCCCTGTAAAATTGAGAGTGAGTAAGATCCTCCCATTCTTACTGCAGTCAGCTCTTGCTCTCCGTGTTAAACAGTTTTATCCTTTCACCTTAGAAGGAAGAGGAAAAGCTGCTTGCCTGTACAATTTTGCTGTAATTATAGTCTATAACGAGCGGGTCTAAAGGAAGAGTTATTGCTCCGAAGGTTTCATTAGCGAAGAGCAGTACTTGCTTCAACAGAGAGCTGGTGCACTAGGTGCCGTCTCGTTTATCGAATTGGTGATTTTCGGCTGTGAGGTCTAGCCCAATTTCGGGTTTCAAAGTCTCTTTATGTGTATATTGAGAAAGTTGCAAATAAAGCATCCCTCTTGTCAACTTGGTACTTTTCAACATCATATGAGTTAAAATGGATGCTTACAGAGGCATCCATTTCAAATTGTATGCGTTTGGTCCAACACAATCACGAGCTCCTTTGCAAATAGGTTCGCAAAAAGGCCCTTGGACTTTTAAGTTGACCGAGTTGTCCGATTATTGGCAGTCCCATGATTAGTCTTTCAAGAGACTCGTGAATATACGAGGGATTGGAGTGGTAGGTGTTGCTTTGTGGGTTGATGGGAGACCGCTAGGCAAGAAATTTCCTGACGTTGAAACTCAAGTTCTGTTCATTTCTCGTCACTATGGTTTTGTGCACGCTCTTTTATCGTATCCCATAATTCTTATAGAGAATTACATATCGCTATAGAATTTACTCGTAGTCGGGAAAAATTTCATAACGACAGGAAATTGAAATTTTAAAATACAGGCGTCCGACCTGCCGGATTCGAACCAGCGACCTAGAGATGGCTGTCTGCAAACTACAGTCTCCCGCTCTACCAACTGAGCTAAGGTCGGGATATGATGAAGGCAGAGGAGGATTAAAATTTATTACTTACCTCATAGAAGGTCCCAGGATTCTCCCTTGAATCTGAAGCATTACATTCCCAAAGACGGAAGGCAGCAAGGCCTAGTAAGAACCTCCTTATTTCCATTCAAGCATGAATAGATGATGCGTTGACAATAATCACATAAGCTGGTCGTTAACTTGTCTCCACGTTGTATGCCGGATTGACAAAAAGGGTGGCGCTTTCGAGCATTAGAGATAGCTTGTGTATATATGTTGAATTTTTTTATGATGACATTATCATTTCCTTCTATGATGTATCGAGGAATATTTATAACAAAGTATATACTATTCACGTGAAAATTTTGGGCTCCAATTATCATTATACAATTTCATGAAATTTTAATCTATCTATCTCTACAGTATGTTACCCTGTATTTAATAGAATAATGTATCATTCTTACAAATAGACTTGTTAGTGTCAATAGAAAAGTAACAACGAAGGGTTGGTTGAGTATTTTTGTAATGTGATGACAAATTAAGATATGAGTGGCACTGTGCGTAAAGTTATAACTATCAAATGTAATTGATGGTTTTGCTAAATCACCAAGGCGAGATTATCTTATTTACTTAACAAGTATAATGATTATTAAAGAAATGTTTTCTTCCCAAGGTCATGATTTGAGTTCACTTGTTTTTCTCTCTTTCCACATATAACATATGTAAATAACTTTCGTCAAGATAGGCTACATATATAAATGCAGTGATTTTTTCAATATTTTCAATTACTTTATAGCATAATATCAGGTAATTCTGCATTCTACGACAAGTTCAAAGTAACATATACGAGAAAATTACTTGATTGTACCCTTTCGGAATCGTGTTGAATGTAAAATGAATCGTGTTGTGTTCTAAAAAATATTTTGCGTTCCGTATTGGTTTTATGAAGTAATTTCCTATAAATATACAAGATTTGTTGATTTGCTTAAACTTACTTGTTAAGAGTTGTGAACTTTTCTTTTGGCTTGGTTGATCATCTATATTATACTTTCACTGAATGGGTCATTGCATTATACTCAGAGATATTTATATGATATCTTAGTGTTAATTTGGGTCATTTGAAATTTACAAACACCGAGGTTACAATATATTTCTTTAGTTTTGAAAATGTTAAAATTCATGAATGCATATGAATGTAAAATAACAAGCCAGGTTTCCAAGTGAAGAGTTATTAAGAACACAAATCTCTCTATTTTAATATCTTTGAATTTGTGTGAAGATTATAACGTTCATCTTAACACTTTTGAGATAATAAGTAATCATTTATTATTCTAGATGATATAGAAATTATCATATTTAAAACTTGAATATGAATTATATTAGATAATAATTGATGTTGTTTTAAAGCTAAAATGAAATGTAAACTCTTCCATACTAATTAATTTGAATGTTTATTAGCATAAGCGTATTCATTGTAATGCTTACAGGTGTGTAATCATTAAACACATAGGTGTTATATTCATTAACTGGTCTTGCACTTAGTACATGCAAATATATACATATGTGCACATTTCGGCATCATTTACAAAAACAATGAAACAAATTACTTTAGTAAGAGAAGGAAAAGATTATAGATTCAAAGTGTATACCAAAACATATGATGCGTACCATTGTAACCTTGTCAATTATTAGAAATTTAGTTATTTTTCACAAGTATTTAAATGATTGTATGTTGGATTTTTTTGGTCCTTTTGTATATTTTATTATAAGAGTCAAATGCGATACATAATAAACATGTATTTCTAAAAGTTCATATTATGTTTATACATATCACATGCATTAGAATAGCTTACATCAATATAAATATATAACAATTGATCTATTTTGCTCTCAAATATGACACAAAGTTCATCACCATAGCATGCAAAGTCAAATTATAACAAAAAATTGAATTTTGTGTTTCATAGATTTCAATTTCTCCTGTGGGATTGTTGAAGATGAAAATTCACTATATTGAAATTATGCTAAGAATCTTTGCACATCGGCAATATTTTAAGTTAAAAATCTATGTCATTAGTGAGATAAAATGATATAGCATTCTTGTATGAATGCGATTTACTTCTATATCTAAAAATTATTTGAATATGTATTCAGTAGAATTTTATTAAAAATATCTAATGGTATATTTATTTAGGTTTTATTTTGGAATATGCAATGATCAAGGAATCATACAAGTTTGTGTGAAATAATGAAGACCTGATTAGAAAATTATATGAATGAAATATGAGAGCTGCACAATATAAACTAAAAAAAAGAAAAGTTTAATTTTAATCTCCGAAACTTAAAATAGATATATACAATCAAACTCTCCGCAAGGAAAGAATTTTCTTCTACACAATCTTTTATAACGAGAAATGAATAATACTATGAATGTTAAGTAGATGAGGCCAAACTATATCTTTTAGACAAAACTATATCCTAGTTATAAACTTGATGAGATAGATTAAATATTAGTGACAGATTCAATTATTGATTTCAAGAGCGTAACGCCGTAACAAGAGGTATCTGTTCACAATAATCATGTACTTACATTTATTTCTAGCAGGCATTCAGATGAACTCCCTTTTGCAAGTAAGAAAAAAGCTTCAATTCTGAATTCGAGGGGAAGAAAGAATGATAATGTTTATCTAAATCCATTTATTACATGCTCAAATAATACTCTGCAATTTATTAAGTATTGGACGTCGTCAGCGGCATTAAATCAGGAATGATTAATTTTTACTCTACCATGATAATATTTAGGAACGTCAGGTCAAAAAACTAAGGAATGCAAAGCATATGAGCGGTGCGAATTAAGGCAGTTAGAAGATATTCCAGTCTCTTTGGCTACGCTTTTTTTCATAATCGTGAATGGCTTGCATGGTGCCTTGAAAATTATAAAATTTATCAAAATTCTTCTCTTCTAGCAGTTTTACTAAGTAAAATATGAAAATTTTCAGAACATAAATTTAACTAATATAAATTTTTTTATAAAAAAATCTTTTTTTTAAAAAAAAATATTTATCAGTCAAAGAGATTATATGTAGCATATTGCAGTATATAAATAACATGGAATGGATACATCAAACCTTTGTATGAATTTTTTAGAAAAAGTGGGATAATTTGATTTACGTGGCTGCTCTAAAACATGAAATTCTACAATAATTATAGAAAATTAAATAAGAAGATATTGAAAAAATATTGATATACATGAAAAATTGCACCAAATTATCAGAACTGGATTTGAACAGTACATCAGAAGTTAGACATCATATTTGTTGTCAATTTAAGATTAGTATTTTTAATATTTTTAATAATTGCGAAGTTTCATCATAAAAATGGAAAAATGGAAATGAAAATGATAAGCATATTTTTATCGAAACAAGTTACCATTTTGATATTCACCTAGAATGTTAAAGATCAATAAAATGGAAATATAGACATCTAGAGTTAGAAATTAGATTTTTTTTCAATTTTTTATCAAATTAGAAATTGATTTTTTGATATATCAGTTTAAAATATTTGATCAAAATTTTATAAAATTTTATTTTTGGATCAGTTGAAATTAGAGCTTCTTGTAGAATAAAATGTATCTTGATGATTTGAAAAAATTTGGAACTTAATATTTATTCCAATTTAATAAGAATTAGTATTGATTCGAAAATACTCCAACAGTAATTTGAAGAATTGAGAGGGGAAAATTTGCGAAGAAAGAAGGAAGTAAGAATTCAAAAATCCAAAAAAGTAGTAAAATTTCGTTTATTGGAAAATATTGCAATTAATACTATATTAAACTACAATTTGTACATGGAATTCCTATATTTTGAAAAAAAAATATTCCCATCTACATCTAAATTTATATATAAAGATTTTTTTTGGGTAATATTTGTTCCATTTGCTTACAAATCAAATTTGGAGGTTTTGATTCAAGAAATAATACAACTTCTATTGTGCAAAACACGAAAATTACAGTGCTATTACGATGGTATATATCGGAAGCAGACTTATAATGATACACAACCAAAGTATATGAGTCATATACGCTACGAGGAGATAACGTCATACAATATGACGTTATCCCCTCGTAGCCACTTCTTGTTATGGGCTTTGACATTTTTCATAGCAAAGCTATTGATAATTTTTATCTTGGTTAAAGTGGTCAAAATTTCCTCATTTTCGGGTATGAAAGGGACTCTGCTATACTCATTTACAGTCATAATTGAAATAATTGAAATCCGGTATTTAGCGTAGGAGAAGAAATAAATATATGCATGTGATTAATTTATATAGAAGCATCTACTTAAATATTTATATGTATGCAATAAGTCGGCGGAGCCTTTATGGGGAACTTTCTTAAGCTCTTACCATGAACTGGTAGCGTTTGTGTATGAAATTTGGGTCCTTTAATGAACAGACTGTGGAGATTTTGCTGAACTACTTGCGGGGCCGATGATTCATCTGGGGGGTAGGTGGTACATTCTTCTTTCCCTGGCAATCCGACTACCTATCACCAAATATATTGTGTATATATTGTTTTGAAGATCCGCTTTAGACAACCAGCTGGATTAGCTCAGTTGGTTAGAGCGTGCGGCTGTTAACCGCAAGGTCGGAGGTTCGACCCCTCCATCTAGCGTACTTTTGTCGCGCTGCCTGGCGAACGTTTTACCTTTTAAGATCTTGAAGGGGAAAGAGACGAACTACAAAACCAAGCCGGCGAAGTGAGGAAAGGAGCGAAAGGAACCTGGAAGTGCCCCCCGGCCACCGGCATCTCAAAGTACAGGGATACGCATAGCGACGTAAGTAAATTCACGCCGGCGAGTGCCCCCCGGCCGCCGTAATGTCAAAGTACAAGGATACGCATCGCGACGAAAGCAAAATCACGCCGGCGAAGTGAGGGAAAGGAGCGAAAGGAACGTGGAAGTGGCCCCCGGCAACCGGCATCTCAAAGTACAGGGTAACGCATCGCGACGTAAGCAAATTCACGCCGGCGAGTGCCCCCCGGCCGCCGTAATGTCAAAGTACAAGGATACGCATCGCGACGAAAGCAAAATCACGACGGCGAGTGACCCCCGTCCGCCGGAATCTCAAAGAACAAGTATACGCATCGCGACGAAAGCAAAATCACGCCGGCGGAGTGAGGGAAAGGAGAGAAAGGAACTTGGAAGTGCCCCCCGGCTACCGGAATCTCAAAGTTCAAGGATACGCATCGCGACGCAAGCAAAATCACGTTCTGCTTGCATGAAGTAGGTTCAACAAGGGCCACGGGATTCTCAAAGTACAAGGATACGCATCGCAACGAAAGCAAAATCACGTTATGCTTACATGAAGTAAGTTCAACGAGGGCGAGAAATTGTATCGTGACCAAGGGCCGATAGGAGTAAATCAAGCAAGGTCCGTGAACGACGACGCTCGGATCCAACCCTATTGTCATCACCAGCGTATTACAATCATCAATCATGAGATATATTGAAAACTGAACTCACGAAGTATAGTGCGTTTCGATGCTTGTTATTCGTGTTAACATCTGCGACCAAATTTTACAACCAGAACCGTCGTCCGCATTCTGGCAGTTCTGAAATTCGCAATAATTATAACTTGAGTAGGGGAACCTTGCAAAGTCTAGTAGCAGCAAACTCCAATATTCCAACGAATCTCCGACTAATGAAGCAGGCAAACTTGGCCTCACTAGTAAAATCTGTACTTTTGCCCTCTGTTCTTTAGCACAAAACTAATTCGGTGCATCATTCACTTTCCCTCCCAAAATAGAAATATAATCAGTAATTTATAAAAATTAGAAGAATTATATCGGGGTCTAAAGAATCTGAGCAGCACATGATAATTGCTTGCTACTTCATATTCAAAATTTGATACTCAACACGCCCAGAGAAGTAACATGAAGGGCGATCCTCAGTCAGAAGTCGGAAGAATCTGAACTCTTGGCTGCGGGAGAGTCGTCTTCTTCATCATCAATGTCTTGCTTGATTCTGTAGTTATACCAGTGGGAGCAAAGGAGGTAGAGAAAGAAATTGAGGAGACTGACAATGGCCAGCAGAAAGTAGAAGTAGTCGAGATGTCCAGCGTCGGGATCGTTGGCCAGCCAGCCTTTGGACGCGGAGCCTCGCTGTGTGAACCTGTCGACGCCGTCGACGAAAATGCTGCTGAAGTAGAAGCCGAAGGACAACGTGCACAGGCAGATGGCAGTTCCCATGGACCGCATGCTCGTGGGCGATTCATTGTAGAAGAACTCGAGCTGACCCACGTACGTGAACGCCTCGCCGGCACCCACCAGGAAGTACTGCGGCAGCAGCCAAAACACACTCATGCCCTTCGATGTGCCGACTCGACGAGCTACTTTGAGCCTTTTCTGCTCCACGAGGGCAGCTGCAATCATTGCAGCTGTTGACAGCACCAGCCCTACTCCGATCCGTTGCAAGGTGGTGATGCCCTGCGATTTATGGGTGAAGTGCCGAGCACATCTTACGAACAGTCGGTCGTATAACACTATCATTGTCATGATACTGATCTGCAGGAAGACGGCCATGGAGGCAGGAGGGATCTCGAAGTGCCTCCCTATCTTTCTGTCCATGATCAGAGCTTGCTCCACACTGAAGGTGGTCATTTGTGCGTACACAGTCCAGAACATAAACGTCGTTCCCAGTATGGGCAGAACTCGGATCAGAACTTTTACCTCCTCCACTTCAGTTACGGTGATTGCAGGTCTGTTGGGCGGCTGATCCTTCGAAGCTTTTAAATCTCCAAATTTATCATCTTCATTACTTGCTGAGCTCTTGATCGCAGCTTTACTGAGAAATCTGTGGAATCACTCACAGAGTGAGTGGAAAGAAAATATTCTGAGAAAAAAGAAATTTCATCTGATTCATGATCTATCATGATCTTCTACTACCATAAGATATCGCTCAGAAAATTGTAGCAAGCTAAAGAACCCCCGAGGTAAAGAAATGAACAAAACTGGATCTCCACAGATCACAGATAAGTGGACATTAATTGAGTGAACCTGGCATCATCATTATATGCAACGGTCGCCACATCAAAAGCACTACTAGTATAATTCCTACACGATCAGAGTCGATATTATTCAGATGTACAGACGACGGCGAGACGAGTCTTACAAGAACTGGTTGCTATGTCTGATTCGGTCGTAACCTGGGTTGGCTTCATGCAGCTGGGAAACGTCGGCAGGGATCTGAAGCTTGTGATTCCTGAAGGCCGTGGCGAAGACCCGGTAAATTTGTGACATGGGGCTGCCTTTGATGGGACTGTATCTGTAGTATCGGCGACCCGAGAGGAAGCCCACCACAGCCAAGAGCATGAACGAGGCAGTGATGCCAAAACCCCATCCTCGGCCCAGCTTCTCTTGCACGTAGACGAGGACAGTAACAGCGAATAGAGCACCCAGAGAGATGGAAAAGAAGAACCAGTTGAAGAAGGACATCATCTGCTTCTTTTCACGAGGATCGTGCGAGTCAAACTGATCCGCTCCGAAAGCTGAAACACAGGCTTTTATACCTCCGGTCCCAAGAGCTATCAAATAAAGAGCAACGTAGAGTACTGCCAGCTTGAATCCGTGCACTGCGTGACATGGATCCTCCGGCTCGTTACAGTGAGGAAGCTGGAACTCGGGCAACGACGCAAACAAAGTTATCAAAACCAATCCCTGCAGCACGACAGCGTTATGAATCATTGTCCATATCCACGTACTTGTGTCCATGGAATTTCTTAGTCCATGCACGGAATTCAAAGGTCGTCAGTAATAATGCCCTCTACTGCAGGGGACATGCACTGGCATGTGCTATGGGCATGGCCTTGCACTTGACTCGGCCTGACAATCTGATGACTAACTCACGGACTTGGAGTTGCAAAAACTGCGGCATCAGAGGACTAACCAGAAATTGGATGACACCGAAAGTAGAGATGGTGAGGAAACGACCCAACCAAGTGTCGGCAACGTAACCTCCAAGTAAACAGGTGACGAAAGATGTACCCAACATGTTCGTTACCATGTTGGCCGAGTACGCCCTGGAGAGGTGCAGGTTTCCGACCAAAAAAGTGACAAGGTTGTAAATGATGCCGAAGGCTGACATTCTCTCGCACATTTCCGCTCCTGCGCGCGACAGGAAGTTCTATGTCATCGAGAAGCCGATATTGTTAGAGATGCTGGATGCTTTTCACATTCAGAGTCAAAACTAGAGGCTTTTGCTGTACGTCGAATTCTCGGTGGTCCGAGTTGAAAGTTACCGAAGATGAGAGGCGCAGTAATCCATCCTCCAGTCCTGGACTTGTCAGCTCGTCGGCCCTGGAAGTCCACGGTGTCGTTGTTGACTAACCAGGTTTCGATATCATCTTTCTGAATGTCCATCGTAGCGGCTTTGTCTCCGCCAGCAGCCATCTCCTCCTTCTGAGACTGCTGCAGTTTGAACCACTCACCGAATTAACAACTGCCAAAAAGCTCGCCGCCGTAACGCTAAATGACGTTTCCTCAGATTGCAACAGGCTCATGTTTTGGTCAATTACAATCGTTCATACTTCTGAAGGTACATCTGCCAATCGCATGGGAGCTTCCAGGACCTGTACATGTACTTTCATGTCAAACATACTTGCCATGCGAACTGTGCACCCAGTGGAGTCTAGGGAGAAACCAGATGTAGTAATGTGACTTCATAGCATATGACTGCGTTACCAACAGGCTTTTGCAGTGATCGCAACTGATCACTGAAGAAGTCTGGTACTGCTTCAAACCTTGCAATCCAACACGAATAATTTATACTGCAAGAATATGAATATCTATGCTGTCGGGAGATAAGGTTCTTCTGATGGATGATACAACGCAGGAGGAACTCACCATTGAAAGAAGGAGACGGGCAAGTTGGAGTCTTCGATCAGAGCGGAAGAAAAGCTCGATGGAAGATCGAGGATTGGAGGATTCCTCGATCTCTCGGACAGGAATATTAATGTCCCTTCGTATATACATGGAAGTTTCTAGTGCAGCACCGGTTCTGACGTGATCCCATCGAGCTAAGTCGTTATTCTGCGTATACCATCGAAGAGCACATTTTTGTCATAAGTCTTATCCAATTGTGGCATGTCAGATGGCACTATTCCTCCTCCATGGCCACAGCCTAAACCATGTCTGGTACTAGGGCAGCCATAGCTACTGACTTTAATCAGCTTTGGAAATCATTGATCTAAGCTCTCGAGGATCTGCTCTTGACTGAGGAAAAAACTATCGTTACCCCAACAAACGCTAGAAGTTTCAGCAGCGGACTCCCAGTGTGAACAACTTCGAGCGATGAATGTGTAAATTACTTTGAGCTAAAAGCAGGATTGTTCTGGACTTCACGTGCAGATCTAGCTTAGGTTCTCAGAACCAAACAGAGCGTTAAGTTGTCGATGGCATTCTACGATACTGAAGCGTTCTGTTCAGTCCTAGATATTCTGAAAGCGACATGCCATGAAATATAAATAGAGGTCATGAACATGGCTGATACAGATGCTCATCAACAAACACGAGACTGAACGTGAACATTGCACGAATTGAGACACACTACACTTTCAGCAGTGAGCTTCCTCACTGGACGTCGATGGTCACAGGGACGTGCGTAGTAAGAAAAACCAACGAACGAACGAACTCAGCAACCAACTGCAACAAACAGCAAGCTCCTGTTGCCCCGCCCGAGAGTCCGCTGCTCTTGAGACTCTTGAGCTGGTGGGCAAAGAATAAGCAAGTAGTCTGCAGCTGGTCTGCAGATTCGACGAAAAGCAGAGACTCAGAGCTTCCATCAGTCCAGGTATTAACTGAACGTTCTAATCCCATTAGATACTATGAGATTACTGAATGTTCATGGTTTGTCACCTTCTATGGTCCCCATGTTCACCTTTTGAGGGAGCTGTACTGCACTTGATATATTTTTTGTACTTGCAGTTCAAGAAGCCACGAATTACATTTATCACACAAATAATAAGACATTTGTGTTATCTGAGAAGAGTTATACAGAGATTTATAATATGCCTGTTCAGAACAATGGTATACGGTGCACGGACTCTCTTCTGGTTTATAAGTGACCCGTTCCCTACTCTCAACTTTTATTTCCTCATAATCTCACCACTTCATCTACATGTCGATATACAAAGGTGTCATGGATATACCAGAGGATGATAGCGAGCGTTCCTACGCTCGCTATCATCCTCTGGTACATCCTCCTATACAAGTTGTCTCATTTGATGACCAGCTAACCAACATCTTTCATCAAAAAAAATTCCATCGGTCCATGTGAAGAAGTAAAACAGGAAGGTTAGCCTGACTTTGAAAGCGCATGGGACAGATGAGTATATCAAAATATGAATTAGGAGCGAAGACTAAAACACCCGTGAAGACAGTCCAATTCATCAGCTATCTTGTTGATATCCCAACTTTATTTGGAGCTAACGGAAACCGCCTGTGTCTCAGTAAAACAGATTAGAAAGTAACCGAGACAGAGCCCACGAGGACCACGAATTCCATTGTCTCAATCAATAAATTATTATAACATCATAAGCAGTATAAGCTTGTATATCCCGTAGGATATGATATTGCATCATTCCTCGTATCCACGGACCAACCAAGCAGCTGCTATGCACCGTGCTTGCGTGTCAGAATTCCATACCCACACGGTTCTTCTCGTCAAGTCTTTGTACAATATTCCTCGCAATCTGCTCAAGATCAAACACAACCCCAGTACGTAAACGTTCGTCAAGCTCTAGATTATACTGCTTGTGTATTTTAGTTTAGTTTCTACCTGGAATAAAATCTCTTGTAGTTGTAAAATCCACATATCATTACAAGATTAAATTGACTGTCCCAAACTCAGGGAACCAAGATAAATTGTATTAATATACGTGTGAGAGGTTTCGGGTCCATTTTCTTTGTGTTTGCTTGAAATTGTCGTGCGAATACATATTGCCATACACTCTACATTGCTGACATGCTACTCACATACACATACGCACACATACACATATATAAAGCGCGAGAGAGTATACACTCAAATGTCACAACTCACAATGTAAAACATGCCAGATATTCGTCGTCCTTGGAGTTCATGGGACGTGACGAAAATAGTTGCCAGAGTTGCAGCCCATGTAGTTGGAGAGTTATCTCATGCGGAGGTTGCTAGGAATGAGTGTACTGAGACAACTTCTTTGGAGGATGTGACATAGCAATCAGTGAGAGTATCGCCTTAGTCTAGTGTGATTATAGAGGAATGGGAACTATTGATTGGTTCCAGATTACAGGAGAAGAGAGGCGACAGTTGACACAAATCTTACAAGATTAACGAAAAAACGAAAGATTCTCCACTGGAATTCCCGTAGGTATGATTGCCTCACTTGCAACAACCGTCACCGTCACAAACATAGATCGAGCCCAACCCATTTAACACTCGGAGATTCCACGTCGACACTAACTGGCACTACTCCCAACGCGCTAGGCTCGACTCAAAGAACTGACATTCTTCAAGCCGTCTCCGACCCTGTACCCCTCCCGACCTTAAACCCTATCTCAACATCTAAATATAGTAAGTACGAGAATTTGAGTGACACGACTCAAAACTACATGACAAAGCTCGGGAAGAAGAGCTTCGAGACGAAGTGACCAGTTTACATTCCTTTTGATATATTATCTGAGAGTCGTGCATGAGTATATAAGGAAGTTTAGTAATGTTGTTCTTGGATTAATTCAACGTACATCAAAGTGTATTCTATGAGAACAATCATTGCTTTGAGAGTGCAGATAGAGGACTATACTGAAATATAACTATCTTGATTTTGAAGTTTGTCCCTCCAAATTACAGCTATATGGGAAAAAATGGATGTTGAACTTCTGAACATCGATCTCCAGTAAAAGCTGAAGGCCTATAATATATTTTACATCGTCACTATGCGCGTTACAGCTAAGTTGTATTTATACTGGGATAGCACATAATGATCTTAAATAAGAAAAGGCTGCACGGTTCCTCATACAGGGGTAATGAAGAGATTTAATCATTGGTATCTCAGTAAATATTTGTCAACTTTTCTCACCAGAGTGGTTCGGGGTGTTTGAATCCAAGCTAAAACATATCATAGACTTTAACAAAAAGGGGAGTTAGTTAGTGATAAGTCATTTTATGCAAGGTATGAGCTTAGATTTCTGATATGTGGAATTCCAGTACGTCTTTTGTGGTTTCCATATTCCATGACATGGTTGTGCATGTTGCTCAATGGAAGAACGGTGGCATTTATTCTAAGGGGCACATTGGTCATTCTTATGAAGACGATAGATGTTAGTAGTCAATAGTGATATAACTAAACCATGTTGATGGAACTCAACTTCAATTACAAGATACAACAGGTTGCAAGTATTTCAGTAATTTTCAGCTTTGAACATATCCTTGCTTTCGATCAACCGAGAACCAAAAGAATCATTGGATGTTTATAGTATCAAGATTTTGACTAAAAAATTGGAGTCATGGGGCCTATGTGTCACAAGATACTCGTGTCAAAGATTTGAATTGGATGGTGATTTGCGAAGAGGTTTGGTGGAATGATATCGGATATCACCACGCTCCTCAAATTGGTGCCAAGGTTCCCAACAATGGACTCTTTCCAGGTGTACCCTGTCATGCTCTTGAGCATTTATGTATGGTCGAGAGACGAAGTGAATCACCCAATGCTCATAAGAGAGAGGACTTTGGAGCTAGTATTACACCGGTTCCTACATTACTACAAACATCAGTTGGTGGTTCAAGATTTGTATATGGAACGTTTCACATGTACTGGAAGAGAAGAGAGGCAAGTGACTGCGAAACCACTTCTAGCTCTTTTCACATAGAGATCATGTCAAAAGCTGGGCAACAAGAGTTTTTGTATAAAGAAACTTATCTGTGTTGAATATGAAATAAACTTTATAAATTTTATGTTCATCATTTCTTTAATTTATGTATCTCATTTGTAAAAATAAATCTAAAAATAGTATTTTGGTACAAAAATAAAAAATCTAATACTCGGAATTTATGTTCTTAAGTACTTTGATTAAATGTATGTTATAAGTTGTCAACAATTATTTTCATTAAGTTTCATTGATAGAGATGGAAGTTTGAAGTTAAAGAATCACACAATCGATCAAATCGAATTTTAAACTTATCAATGTTGAATTATCACCATTCATAATCGAATTATCACATGATCATACGAAGAGTAGATGATTTTTTCGGCCGTATTAAGGTAAAGGAAGATTAAAGCACACAAAGATTGCTTTTGCCGAACGAGACTCTGGTGAGTGAGAAAGAATCGAGAAATCATGTCGCACACATAAACTCGAACTTGAAATGGAATCGAATGTACATGGTGAATTTCTTTTTCGAAAAAATAGAATCTTGACCCCTGTTTATTTGGAATTACTCCTACTATGGATTCCCAACTGAGATCGTTCTACCATAGTTCTTGAGATTGTCGGTGAAGCGATGCCACTCGTCACAACTTGCGTCCGGGCCACACTACGGCCCAGATGCAAATTGTGAAGAGTCCTAGCCAAAATTTGATACATGTGCAAATAAAAATATTGATCTTTGATATTAGCTTCGAATCTTCTAGGAATGATTACTGGAGGTATCTAAAACGAGGCTCGCGTTTGATACAATAGTCTAGAGCTCCTTGCGGATTGCTGTGCAAGATGTCAAAAACGCGAGTTTATTAACTTATGGATTGAGCTCAATTATAATGAGCATGTGTAGAATTACGCCCTTTCGAAATAGCATATGTTGTCTGGAGCCTATCCATCGATATGCTTTTGAGCACATTTGACCAATCTACTTTAGCTTTTCATTTAATGACCCTAATTTAATGTCAATGCCTGGCTGCGTCATGAAGAAAATCAGGCGTCTTCTTACAGAAAACGATAGTCTGCCCTCCCAAGAAGACTACTGCAGAGAGAACTTTGGAATTTGAAAGTTAGTTCAGACTTGCTTAGACAAGTTCCGATTTGACTGCAGTGTGTTTGACGAACGCAGAAAGTTGACTCGCCAGCTGGATCGGATGCTGCAGTCGAGCAGTCTAAAAACATGAAATACATATGAGGTCTAGAACTTTCGGTGCTCCGGTTTTTCTCGACGTCGGAATCTGACCAGAAAACGGCGTTGATTACGGTGTCGGCCGATCGATGTCAAATCAGCAGCTGGAGTAGGTACAACGCGCAGTGCGCCTGATGATCCGTGGGCTTCTTCTCGGCTCAACATCATTGGACTCTTGTCTTACGAAGAGCACTCAGCATCCGCTTTGGCCAGTCGTGCATGGAGAATGTAGATCTGTGCACTTGCTGCTTCGAAACTCCCGACAGTGCTGAGGAATAGCTCAGCGCTTTCCTACCGTAGCTAACGAATGATTATAACGGCAAAGGCATGTACTCATTTTTTTCCAACATGTTGCAAGGCCTGTGGGAGTCAAGACCCTCATTACTTGGACAGGGCGACAATAGCTATGCAAACCTTTTGCACAATCCTGACGAGCATGATCCGGAAACTGGCTGAAGGTAGTCCACATTTGGGCCCATCAACATTCAGCGCGTTCGCTGCTTCGAACTTCAGGCTTTATGTGCTTGTTCATGACGCTTGGAATCGGAACACAGTCGAATCTTATCCGGCCTTCAAATGCTACTCTGTTCGAGCACAGCTGTTGCTTGCGTGCCAGTGACCAAGTCCAGATGTGGACCTAACAGTACGTTCTCGATGAGGGGACCTGCTTGCCCTTGCCCGCAGGGTGAGCTGAATCATGCCTCATCTTGAAGAGGATGCTGATAAACGTGGCTTTTCTCATAGCACCTCGTGAATCTTGAAGTGATGGAGACCCCGGACACACCTTTCATCTTTTAAAAGCCCTTGAGCGTGCTCGATACTTCAAACCTCGCAGCAAGTCCCTCGCACAGATTTTCTCCTGTTTGAAAGAATGGTAAAGTATAGCTCAGGCATTGGCATGGGCCGTACGGAGGAACGAATTGCTCGCAAAACCGAGCCGGCAGAAGCTTGTGACCTTCGGCGGAATGTATGTCTCGGGACAAGATAATAAACCTTCAAGTTCTCGGATTGTTATCCGAGAACTTGATTCAATCAATCAAAACAGGAGAAATGCATCATCTCTTAGCGATGAAGACGATTGTCATTCGTTATTATATACCATAATCCGTCCCGATACCTGTATCCATGAGCGCAAAGTCATATAATTAGTTAATTTTTTTATTTAACTAATCATATGTCTAATTATTATCTGCCAATCTAGAATTTCTTAGTCACAGAGGAGATACGGGAGTACATTATTATTCAGCTCAACGAGGAATCAAAAATGCCCAGAATATGATAAATCGGGACGTATGGCACCAGTCTTCCAGGCGGAGGATGTACGTGACACGTATAGTACATTCCGATTCTCGGATATACAAACAACACTCTAAAAGAGAAGTTGACGACGAGATATTTCTGGTTGCAACTGCCAGGATCTAACAAGGAACATGGTCGGACAGCCACCGAGGGGATCGTACTGTTGCCCAGTGTACCATCGCCTACCTCTCCTAACGCCATAAAAGTAGCCCTCTACAGCTGCCCACCGTATCGAGACCATCGGAACCACATCGAAACCACAGGAACCAGACTGCTGCTGGTACTGCTGCTACAGACTCGATGCTCGACTACCGCCTTCCCGTATCGAAAGGTCTAGTTTGTGAACTCCCTGGTTCTCTCAGCTATAACAGCAATATCTGGTCGACAGGCGCAGCTGTCGACACAGCGAGGTGTGTCTTGCGCATTTCATCACCCGCACCAGTGGCGATACTCTCCCGCTCAGGAATGATTACATGAGGGTTAGCGAGAGCCTGCATTTCGAAGCAAATCCCCCCTTGCCGTACTGGCTTCCATCACTCATTCGAAGACTACCGCTGTCTTCTGAACTTGCCACATAAGTTTGCTCTGGCTCAAGGAGCTTCATAACAGATTACGTAGCTGCCCGATGTGCAAAGATGTGGATCTTGTTTACAGCAGAAACATGCATTGCTGATGGTTAGAATTCGGAGTACGTATAATTCACGGAATTTCTTTAGTTGGAGACTGCGACTAAACCCTTGTTTACAGCAGAAACATGCATTGCTGATGGTTAGAATTCGGAGTACGTATAATTCACGGAATTTCTTTAGTTGGAGACTGCGACTAAGGTTTGGTGGCAGCATCGGTCGAAGCTTCCACGTCTACCTACTGTAGATCCGGTCAACTGATCGTGGTGGCAGTTTCAGTATGTCGCGTACTTGTCCCTCTCCTGATCGAACTATGTTTCCATCTTCTAGAAGCACAGATCCCAAATTGGATTGCTTTTGCACGCTCATTCTCACTCGCCCCTCACTTCTAGAGAAAATATATGTCCGCGAGAATTACGAATCGATGATGTTGTGCACCAGAAGTAAGCTGCACCGGGCAAAGTTTGACTCCACGCTCTTGGACTTCCTCACCCTACGCTACGGTAGTTTGTCTAGCTGAAGTGGCAACTCCGTGAATCCAGGACTTGCAGTGGTTAGGTCGATGATCGTATTGGCAGTTCTGAAAGAGAAATACCCGTCTAAAAATGATACTTAGGAACTCGGACCTATATACCCGTCCGTATCGAGTCTACCCAGCATGCGTATCGTTGGAAGCTGTTAGGTGGACTCCATCCTTACATACAACCATATCTTTTAGGTGAATCTTGGAAGTTCCAGTAGTACCTTGGGAACAACCATGGCCAGAAAAAGTGAGGACTTCGGCCCGGCCTCTATATTTCTCACAGTTCTTGGGTGGTGTAAAAGGTTAAATCCATTCTACGAGGATTCTTCAGCTTGCATCAGAAAATCGAGAGACGATAAAAAGCATTTCTTCCTTTTGAAGTTGCTTCCGGTCTCAAACTTCTGTCTAGAGATCTTACGGGGACTTGACTTAAAGGTCTGCACGCCAAATGTTCGGTTCTGCTGGAGGTAACGTGCCATCACGCAATCAAATATTTTCTTCTTGTCTATTTCAGCCAGGGAAGATCTAAGTTTCGGGATCTGTATACACAAAACGTTAAAGTCCATGCACATCGGAACAAACGAACCTGAATCAGAATGGTCACTTAGGATCTTCCATTCACGAACAAGGTGTGGCCCTGTAGCCTATACTTTTCGGTTAATACACACATTGGTTGACTGCAATGTCCAAGGTCGCGTTCGTCCTGTGCACACCCGCTGTACTTTGCAAGTTTCAACATTGGACGACAAATCTTGGTTGGACCTTTCAAAAATGAAGAACACGACTACAATCCTACCCTGGTCAACATCACAGTGACCAATTCGGTCTTTTTGATTATACCAAATTTTAAGTGGCCCACCGAATCACGGTGCACGACATTCTTCCTTGCTAATGCGAACTACTTTTTTATTGCCTGGAGTCCTTTTCCGTCACAAAGATCGCATGGCACAGCACCTACGCCCTCACAGTATGGGCACCTTGGCTCTTCTCCATCGATCCACTCCAAAAACTGTACAAGGAGAGAGAATGTTAGTGCCATCAAAGTGTGAAAATCGGATCGCGTTTATACTGAGCAGTTTTTTAATTGATGCACGAAGTCACATTGACACTACTAGTGCGAAAATGTCGTGCCAACGTGTTGTATTACTCAAACAGAAATGAAGTCGTACGACCATCACAGTCAGACCTGCTTGCAGATATGCATTGTGTTTGTATACATAAGCAATTCAACTATGAAGGGTACAAGACAATGAAAAGCATGTACCTGTTCCTCGACATTGAGATCACCAGTTCCTTCGCAGTCTGTATGACGAAACATGAAGCGGTCAGGCTTCCATGAAGGAAAACTTCGAGAATATCGAAAAGCTATGAAGTGAACTCCTTGGATATCCATAACGGATATCTTGCATGCCACCAACATATGACAATAACGGATCCTTTCGGAAACATTATTCTACTGTTGTTGTACATTTCCTGGATGACGCCCATTCAAAGAACAGCAAGCCCCTCGCTGGGTATCCATAAAAACCGTCTTTCCAATTCACCTAACGAGTCAGAAAACGTACCAGTACACAGCATCGTACCCAGGCCCCTGCATGAGAAGCAGTTTTCAATCACCAACTTCATTCCACTCCCATTTTGACTTTGTTGGGCCTTAATTGTAAGACGGCCGGGTTCCTCCCATCGATTTTCCCCAAGGAGGTAAACCCTCCTTTGAGACCCATGAGTGTCCTCGGCATTTGTTCGCTCATATCTATCAATCTCTCTGGACGAGCGCGATGCAGGCTCCTCCTTTTGGGGTGGAGACTTGGCCTGAACATTCATATCAACAAAACGTATCACTTTCATCCTTTTTCAACCAGATAACGGATATTCGTGGACTTTTTGTAAAAATTCCAAAAAAAATTCGAAATATTGATCATGAACGTTAAGCCGGGAAAACGATGTTGTGGTGTGCCAACTCTTCCTACAAATTGTGTTGTAGATACAATCAAACAAGAAACTAGAAACATATGCGTGCAGTTTTTTGCTCTTTCGAGTCTTATATCTCAGCTCCTTAAACCCTTAGTGCTTCAAACAAGCCTGTCTAACAAAGACGTCAAATGCAGAGAGTCATCGTTCCAGCATTCAAAGTGTTATCTTCAATTCGCCTCATTGTCACAGTTGCAACGGCCGTACCACAACTGGAGATTTTTTCTTCGGAGGCGTGACATCCTTTCCCATCGGCGGTGAAACACTTTTCTCGGTTTTTTCAGTCTCCTCTGCCTCCACCCCTAGAATGGTTGCCAGCAATTTCGCATTTACCAGGCCATCTTCCGGTACACCAATTGATGCCTGCATTTGCAAAATCCATAAGTACGATGTAAAGTGGAAGTGAGGAAAATGACTGGCGTTTCAGACGTTTTGAAACTTCTGATGGCAGCATTACCTGATAAGTTTTGACGGCACTCTCAGTGCCATCGGAGAACATTGAGTATTCAATGTCTTCCTCTCCAGAATAAAACCCCAGTTCAGCCAAAGCTTCCTGCAAACAGTACATATGAATTCTCATATAAAAAAAATGTCCGACTGGGTCGAGGACACTGTCAAGAAATTGACCACATGAAAGCTGGAAATTGACACAGATTGCAACCGCGAATCAGTGATTTGTGAAATTTACTGACCCTCTAGAGTCTCGACAATGCGCAAGGAGCAATTCTCAAGAATGAGAGTCACAGAGATAACTCAACTCCTGAAGGTAGCGAGCCTAGAGCATATCTATGAACCTCTGAAATTTAGTGAGACTCGCCTTCAAGCGCAAATGCAAGAAAGGGACCGCTCCTCCACACCTGCAGCTCTTTCACATCATCTCCATCCATTCCTGATTTTAGAGTTCTTGCTTTCTTCGTTGGAGGCGTGGATGCCGCGCCACTCCCCTTGGCAGTCTGGGAGGTTGGAGCGGATGGCTGGGGCCTGCTTGCCACAGGAGTCGCGCTGTTGGAAGCTCCATTGGACTTGGTGGGAACATCTTTGGTGGTCACAACTGCAATCAGCTCCGAAGGAACTACAAAAGCGAGGGGGTTGGATTCAGCTGGTGACCTCACCTCAGCTTCCGCTTCAACAGAAGAGGCAATTCGGGGAATTTGCTTCACAGTGCGAGTCTCCGACTCCCCCAGAGTCAGAGCATCGTCCGACACAGGGGCACTCAGAGCTTGCAGGAGGGTCTTCATCCCTGTCACTAAATTCCGCAGAGAAGCATCTGTCACCTCGTCCTGTCGAACTTGAGACCGAAGCTCTTCCAGTTGCAACTTCAAAACCGCCACCTGATTCTTCAAAATTTCGGATTCCTGCAACAATTCCTGCTTCTCCTGGACCCAACGAGCTTCCTCCCTCATCCATCTCTGCTCCTCTCGGAGCCATCTCTGCTCTTCCCTGACCCATCGCGCCTCCTCTTTCTCCCAATTCAAGTCCGCTCTAATTCGGAGAGCAATGTGCCCCGAGCGACCTCCACCTCTCGGCGGATCTCTGCTCCTCAGACAAGCAAACCGTTCGACCTTCGAAACCAACTCCACCGAGCTGGCCCGAAATCCTGAAGAAAAGGCCGAAATCCGGCTATGCCGCGATTCCGACAGCTCCCATTGACAAGGGCACGCCCCCACCGTCATGCTCATGGCCATCATCCTCGTCCTGCTCCTGCTGCTCTCGCTCTTTCTTCTTCAGCGCCACTCTGCTCTGCTCTGTTCTGTTCTGTTCTGTTCGGAACAGCACTTCCGAAACTCACGTTGTGGAACAATTTCCTCCTATTCCACGGCGGTTCATTTCCTCGTGTTCCCGGGTCGAGCCCATGCACCATCCATCGCCACCGAAACTTCGAGGCAAACCATGTGGATATGGTTGTTCCGCCGGCGTCCTCGCGAGCCCAGGTCAGCTGAACCCACTGAGCTCAGCAGCTGCTGCTAAGATAGGGGGCTAAGATCTCCCCTTTTGGTGTACGTAGATTCCCGGCCCAATATTTCTGCTGGACCGGGGCAAGTGTGGCGGGGTGAGTGTACAAGCTGGCAGGCTTGCAGATTCATAGTCAAAAGTTTTCTGGAAGGGTATCGTCCGTCGCGCTCACTTCTATGAGAGGATCTTCTGCGATTTACAGTCCTTCCGGCCGACGAATATCAAGGACAGCGATGTCACGCTGCCAACTGCTTGCAGTCACTGCTAAAGTCATTTGATGCTGTCTTTTGAAGTTTCTGGATTCTGGCAGAAGTTTTTAAGCGAGAGGGCCGATTATCGTGAGAAGGACTTTAAAAGTCATGCAGAAGACTTCGGGAGAATCAAACCTGCCCAAGAAACTAGTACGTTCAGGGTACTTGTCTGGACATTCGGACGACCTCCGGTGGAAGATTGCTGTTTTCAACTTGGACTTGACTGGGTCTCCATTCTGAGAACATGGCTATTTATTTCTCTACGCTCATAGGTTAGATTGAGTTGTGAATGTCATTTCGTAATCTTCTTTTGCTGGTGTATCTTGAGTAGAAAGAATAGAATTTGTGATAAGGTTCAGATAAGGTTGTTACTGTATTTTTTATACTTGTCTCGAGCTTTGTATTTTCCTTTTCTAATAAATGTGATTAAAATTGTCATAATTCACCAATAATTGCATTGTGTAAACTCATTATATGATGATTTCATGTAGACAGGAATACTTGCCAACTCCAAACAAGACACATCAGAATGTACTGAAGTGGAAATTTAAAATGCATCAGTATCCACTGTTCTTTCTTATGTTGAGAGATTTTTACATAAAAGAAATTTAGACACATGGAAAATCTATTAATGTATCATGTTCTGATTTGATTCTTATGATCGCTCACTTTAGTTAATTAGATAATGTTAGATATCGCAATATAAGAATGTTAACAAAAACTCTCTTTAGATAACAATGGGTTATTATGTATTACATGAAGGTGAGCTCGCAAAGTAATCATACATATCCTATGTCATTATTGTTGAAAATGCTTCCCAGAGTAAATAATACTTTGGCCTAATATTTCAATAAAAAATTCTTGTTTTCTTATACATAACATAATATTCCTTTTTCTTTTCTATGCAAAATAGCTGGATTAATATTCTTAAAAAATTATATTATTTTAATTTTAAAAGTTTAAAAATAATTATGTTTGTATTGTTAATAAAAAATCTTTAAAGTATTAGTTTATACTCAAAATCTAAATCATAAAATCTATTGATGTGATATGAATAACAACAACAAAAAATTGCATCTAAAAATGATTATTTAAAATTTAAATTATCAAAGATAATATGTATATAATCTAAGATAATTAAATTAAAATTCATAATTACAAAAAAAAATAAAAATTAAATGGAATTTTTGATCAAATTTATATGCTAATGATCCAATAAATAGGGTTAAGATTGATTTACAGTACTTTAGGATACAAAAATTTAAGTAAATTGATTATAACTTATCTAAAATAAATATATCTATAAAATATATATGGTTTAATTTGAAATTGAAATAAAACCGTTTTATTCTACTTTCAGCTAGCTTTCTTTATTTATTTATTGAAAATATTCTATAATTTTCATAATCTAAAGATACTCTTCAAGAACTTTCAGTTACTTGATAGATTTATGATGTACATGATACAATCAATGAAATTATATAGATTGATGTAGGTTAGATGACTTTGATGATTTTAAGTAAAATAACTTTCAGAACAATAGTCATTTTATGCATTGACAAGGGCTTTTTATAATATAAAAGTACTTTAAAAAAATTTCATGACAATTTAATCACTTATTATTGAAAGAGTACAAACTAGATTATAACACCATAAGTGTATCACTAGTCTAATAATCAAACTATATAATGATCAGAACTACACATGTTAAGCTTACATGTTGAAACATATATTGAAATTTGTAATATGATTAGCACATAAATAATATTTACCTTCATTTAAAATATGCATTAAGATTGATTTGTGTAAAATTACAATGAAATATTTCAAATTTTCTTTGAAATCATATTGATCCTTTTTTTTCAAAATAAATATCAATTTTGAGATTTTAAATCTATCTTTTGATTTATTCCTTGATGTTGATATATATATATATATAATAAAAATAATAATAGAGTAAATTTAAAACTTTTTAATTTATTAAAATATATTTTTAAAATTTAACATTTCTTATAAAATATAACATTTTTTATAAATTTTTTTTGATATAAACGTATTTTACAAAAATAAATCTTGATTGAAAAAAATAATCAAACATAAAGACTAACAAAAATTTTAAGACTACCTTCATGACTTTTTTACACTTTCACAATATTTTGCTTATTAATGTTTTGCTTCAAATTGCAATTATTATACATTAGTTCTTTTTCTTGCATTTCTTTCCCATCTTCAGTAAAAGAATGGTATGACTAACATGAATGTGTTATGTAGGGTTTCAAGTACAGATTACATACAAGATAAGAAAGAAATTGTTAAATACACCACACCACCACTAGCCATGGAGCTCCGCACCACACCGCGCAAATGCTACCACCACACAACAAACCAACATCTAAAAGTCAAATGTAGAACGCGCGTCTACCAAAAAGCGCTGCAACGTAAACCTGTGGAGAAGGAAGAGGTATGGTGACTGGGCTTTTTGATTGATTGTAAAAAATTTCAATATATAATTTAAATTTATTTATTTAATTCAATTATCAATTTATTGCTTGATTATCACAAAAATTTTGTGATTGAACATAACATTGAAATATGAAATAGTCTTGCTCAAGCAATTAAATTACATGTTCAATTTAACAAATTTCATAACATGATTTGATGTTCAATTTCCATTGGGACATAACACACAATTCGCTTGTATGGATGTAGATAAATGTTCATATTTACTTATCATCAATTTATAATAAAAGAAAATATTAATAAAAATATTAAAAATTGAATATATTTTGTAATTAAAAACTTTTGGATTTAATATTAAACTAGTATTCTAAAATATGTTAAAAATTGTGATCTTGAAAAAAAAACATCTTAATTTTTTTACTATTGTAATAAAATAATATATATTATACAACAATATAATTATTATATATCATAAATATATTTTATTCAATTAAAAGAAAATCTTACAAACATATTTACAATTAATGTGATGATAGAAAATGATTGAAATAAAATTATATATACATATGAAATATTATATATAGAAATAAAATATTGAACAAAACATTGTACGATGTATACAAAATTGCTCTAAGATTGCTTGAATGATTGACAATAGAATATTTTATTAACTTGTATATGCGAATAGTTTTGTTTGAATTTTTTTTTTCAATCTTTTGCTTTTGGCTGTCAAACATGTTTTGCATATAATTTATCTTCAAGCATTGATTTGTTTCACAAACTGAGGTATTCATTTTACTACATGATACAATAATGAAATACATACCTCCATATATAAGGATCATTTCAAAGTCCAACAAGATGCTTCAATCAATTGTAATATACATTAATGTCACAAAAGAATATTGTACATATGCATATGCAGATGTGTATGTACAATATTCAAGACAAACGTTAGTCCATATCTTCAATTGGTTCAACCTTCCATGACTATGACTTCACTATCAAAATTTATGTCTAAAAAATATTTGTCAGAATAACATTTTGTTACAAAAATAATCATTTGCATACCAACTTACTCTCATTAGATGATAATATGCATCTTGCAACTTCTAACTAATATAAACCAATTGAAACTTAAACCTGTCATAAAACTCACAATGTAAACTTTTATAAATCGATAGATTGATTAGAAGCTGTATGATACTTTCCTAATTGCTCAAAATGTACTCCAGAATGTAGATTCCACTTCCATTTTTTGATCAAATTCCTTCTTTTTTTTTAAATAAAAAATTCTCTTTTCTTTCATCATTTGATAATAAAAATTTTTGGTTTCTTCACGTCAAACTATTTTCAAAACTCTTCCATAAATCGTGTCACAATTTAGCCAAAAAGGTTCTAGTCTGTCAAAGATCTATGTTGTCTAAGTGAGTTCTATGTTTTCTTACCGTCATTCAACTGTCTACTTCTAGTACTTGATTTTGTCATTTTTTTTTCACTAAATTTTGTAGTTGACTTTCTTTGCTCACTATAAGTTAAGCCACCACCTCTTATTTTTTCAAGTTGGTACTTGTATTCTCACCTCTGTTTTGCTCTCTTACCGTCATCCAATAGCGTCCTTGTGATACTTGGATTCGTCATTTCTTTTCACTAACACTTGTATTTGATTTTCTTTGCTCATTAGAAGTTAAACGACCACTTCTTGTTTATGGAAGTTGATACTTGTCTTCTCATCTCTGTTTCGCTCTTCATCGGTATAAGTTTTTTCAGTTCCAAGAATTGACAGCTATTTGGCTCCGTGTCAATTACCTTGACTTTTTAAAATCATGAATTTGGCACTTCATACATTCATCTTTGTCCCACTAGTAGATTGTATTATCAACTCCTTAGACCTAATTGTGGGAATACTTTTGCACAAGTATGAGCATGTTTGTAGGACTATCTTTGTTTAATATATAATTACTAATTTGAGCATCTTTGTGACAGAATCTTCACACTAGTGTGAGCATTTTTGTAATAGCATATTTTCACTAATAGTAGCATCTTCATAAAATTATATTCCCACTCACATGAGTATCTTTATAATTGTATTTATCACAGCTTTGGGCCTATTTGTAACAATTTTCTTGATCACTTTCGTTCGACACTTTGCCTCAATCACATTTCCATTCTTCAGTAATTTAGCTACATCACAACATTTAAGTTTTTAAAAAATAATTCGTGTGAAAATTTTTTTTTTATTAATTTTAAATATCAATCATAAATTTTCTCTGTTAATATTATTCTAAAATTTCAATAATTTTGTTGAAAAAAGTAAGAAAATAATTATATTTATTTTAAAAAATATTTAAAATTTAAATGTTCTCAATATTTTATTCTAGCATTGTACAGAAGATTTCAAAATTCCTCATTTCTTAATATTTTAAAATTTCCCCCTTTTATTACAAATATATCAATTCTGATATATATATAATTTGATCGGTCTTACAATATTTTGAAAATTTCACACCCTGATCTTTGTCTTTGAACTTTCATGTTCAAATTTTATTGTATAGCTCTAAGATTAATCTTTTGGATTTTTTTGTACTTAATTTTTAAATTTTTTTGCACTTCTATCTTTAAAAAAATTTATTTCAAATAATTTTTATCAATTAAGAAATATATATAAATATAAGAATTGAAGAAGAATTTTCCCCATTTCTATATTAAATATTAAACCACTCTAGGAGAATATCATTGTAGAGACTATTTATCCAAGATTTTAGTAACTTCTTTCATCTGAAGTTTTTTCTTCTGTTCAGTTGGCATTTATTCTAGACGAGTCGAACTCGGATACTCAAGAGCTACACTCTTTTCTTTTGGGTTCATAATTTGCCTTGCCTTTTACTTCATTCCTTATATTGTGTTTAATTTTTTGTTCATAAAATATAAGTAAATCTTAGACATTTTTATTCAAATACAATAGTCGTCTAGACACTGCTTGCTTCTTTCCAGATAATTTACCAAATGGCCAATTGCAAGAGGAAAATTCGAAAGTTACAGTTAGTAAGATTATTGGCAAAAATTCACATCCAGCGTGCTTTGGAGTCAAGTTCACTGTTTCTTACTTCTCATATCTACCTTAAGTTCGTCATTATGTACTTTGGATGATGTGGGTAATAAAGGAAGTAAAGTCAGATCACTTTTCCACAAGGTTGAGAATTAATATGAAAGGCCCTACATAGTTTTGGGATCATCAATTCGATTATCATGAAAGATATTAGTATGTCCGGAGGGTGTAAATACTTGAGCTTTCTTGTCTTCTGGAGACGTGACGTCGTAGTCGACAAAAGTCGACCACATAGATACCAGTCATGTAAAGTAGTGTCTTTTAAAGAATAAAGAAGAAGAAGAAGAAGAAGTCTGAAGGCAATGCTATTGTAGTCCGAGTAGTTATTGGTGGAAATGCTCATTCCAGACTTTATGCCAGTCGACTAACGAGAAAAGCAGTGAGGACCACAGGGAAAGTAGAAGAAAGGGCAAGGAGAAAGAGAGATAGAAGGAGATTATAAAAGACAGCGGACAGCTCAAGGTCGGAAAGTGGAGGCTGGCCATGTTCACGCCCGAAAGCATATAATTCATTTCTCCAGCGAGCGTGAGGCTATATCTCTGGGCTTGTTCTCACAGTCAACTCGTTTTGCCTTGTCTATCGTCGACCCTAAGATCTGAGGTCCAAACATGTTTGCTGACACGATCGTGTTCAGCTCTTGGATCTCATATCATGGCACGGGCATGGGGTCTTGTCGTGCTCTTGAGTGGCATCCTCCTCCTCTGAAGTGCGACATCACTAATCCACTCTGTCGTGAGTACATATGAAGTCACAGAAATAGGATTAAGCTGATGGCGAGGGAGGACATCCATCAGGAGGTGCTGCACGGATTGAGCACTTTTGCATAAAATCTGAGAGAATTTGGTGCGGGTGCTCACCAGACGGGTGGGTGTTGTGTGTGTGAGTAAAATCATGGAGCGAATATGTCATAGAACAAATCGCATGACATAATTGCAGCCAAGAGGCGAAAGCGGCTTTTGGCGTTATTCTAGAAATTTGCAGCAAAGAGAGAAGGAAAGCAAGGGCGAAAAGGAAAGAACTGAATGCCGAAGGAACAAAGCAAGGCCAAAGCTCAGGCGCAGAAACATGAGATGGTCGGTCCTACATGCACTGGTGTGAAGCATAATGGAGCGTAGCGGCTGGCTGATGCTCGCAGCCGCCGGGTCTGAACTGGGGGCGGCCGGACCCCGCCGTGCCTCTTTTCGATTTAATGAGCTTGCTTGCTCCCAAAGATTCTGTAGGGACTCGCAGGAATAGTTCTGCAGGGACCAGCTCCGAGGACTCCTCCGCCGCGACGCCATTCCACGGAGTCGCAATTTCTTGGAGGCGACGATGGTGGGGGCCCCCTTGACCAATGATCGCAGATTGCCCCTGTTGCCTCTGGCGCGACGTCGAACCGGAGTCGCGGCCACACTCGAGATGGCGCTGCAATGCCGATCCGCTTGCAACTGCGAGGTGGCGTTGTAGACAAGTCGTGAGGATTATTGGCTCGAAGGGGTCACGGTCGACAATTCATGATTCCGCTTTCGACGCCGTCGAAGAAGCTGATAGACTGCGAGGCTATCAACTTGTCTAGACAGACGAGTCCTCTTTTGAGGCGTTGATTGATTGCTCGGGCCTTGAGGCCCACCATGGTCGCGAAGAGAAATGTGGCGTCCTTAGGACGTCGCTGCCAGAGAAGTCTAACACTACTACTACATGAAACTAGAACTGAGTACGGGCCCACTCTTACATAGATTGGGTTCGACAGTGCGATCTGAGGTGCTCGCCGGTTAGATCATGGAGGCTCGGATAGAGGTAAAACTTCATAGCAGCCTGAGATTTACGTGCACCGATTGATGCTAGATGAGGTCCTCCACATCTATTTCCATATGTCATGCGTGCCAGCCACGATAGGAATTCTCGAGTTGCAGACGATCAACGACATGCTCCTCAAATGACATTGGATGACGACGGAGATAGTCTACTCATGTTGAGATTCAACGGCGCATGTGCTCATCCGTGATATCACCCGTACAATCACATTCTAAGAGGCAAATTGGTGAGATACCCATCATGTGTTCCCTCACATCAATGAGGCAAGCGAGCAAACCGCAAGTTGTCAGCTCTTACTGGCAACTACAAAACACACCGAAGGATGTGGCCAAAATTGACGCCCGAACTCTCCGGTGCGAGACTTGGCTTCCAATGTACACTTTGTGTGACTGGATCATCGGCGAACCGACCTCCTAGTCGCCACCCAAGCTCCAAGAGCGTCCAGGAAACGACCCGCGACTGAACGGAGTAAATCCGGACGAGCAGATTGTCCAGACGCGGCCGTTCACAAGAACTACTGTCTGGACTCCGTACAGCGCCCGCGGGCCACGTATGAACAAAAGGCCCAGCCAGGAGAGCAGAAACGCCCAGGCCGCAGCAGGAAGTGTCTGCGCTAAGATCCCGGGGCGTCGTCCGTCGAGAGTGGGGTCCCGACTGGCGAGGCTAGGCGAAGGGAAATAAAACTGCGACATCGGTTTCCCTTGGCGAAAGGTCGTCGATCTACCTGACTGACTTGCACCGATCCGAGCTGGCAGGCTGCCATTCTTGCCTGAGGGACGACTTTGTCAGTCCCTCTGGCAGAGGGGGGAGAGAGAGAGAGAGAGAGAAAGAGAGACGAGAGAAGAGAGTGGTGGAGTGAAAACGCAACCAGTGTCTGCGACGGCGCCTCTTGTGGGCTCGCGTCTGACGTGAGGGCACGTGCTCCAGAACAGGGAGGTGCGGGATACAAGAGCGCGGGGCCGGGCGCCGCTCAGGATAAGAACAGTTCGCGCAAGGCGAGGCGAGGCGAGGCGGGGAGGGCCACGGAGCGGGCAAGGAGGGAGGAGAGGCGAAGGCGTGTGCAGAGGGCCGGGCAGTGATTGGGATCGAAATGGCCGGATTGACCCCTTGAAGCGGGCGCGCAACGCGTCGAGGTCCAGGCTGGCGCATTCCATTCAACGCTGGCAACGAATGCGAGGCATTGAAACCTCCTCCGCAGCTGCTTTTCCTGTGCCCTCTCCTTACGAACTAACGACAGGACGCCTCGTCCTCCTGCTGCTCCTGGCCTGGCCTGGCCTGCCTGCCCACCATCTCCTTGGGAGCCTGAGAGGGAGTCAAAGAACGCTCCTCTGTGCCTCGCTCGTCGCGCTCACTCGCTCCTCAACTCTCCAGAGGAAGACTCGGGTGGTGGTGAGGTGTGGTCGATTCCATTGTTCTCCTGCCTACCTGCCATGCGCGAGAGACAGAGGCCGAAAGAGAGCGAAGGACCCTGACCTGGATTGTGCTGATCTCGACCTTCTCATTTTCTCTAAAGCTGGAAGAGGAGAGACAGCTGCAGCCAGACAGAGACAGGAGCAGGGGAGAGTGAGGCGGAGCCAGGGGCAGACGAGGGGAGAGATAGAGAGGGAGAGAGATAGAGAGAGGAACGAGGGAGAGGGAGAGAGACGCACGAAGAGCGGCAGCGGCAGCCAATTTGGAGTCATTGGCAATTGCTACTGTCTGTTCGTCAATCATCGTTGTCGTCGGGCATTCGAAAGGTTTTCTTTTTTCTCTTTGGAGCTGGTTTCTTAGTTTCGTAGTCGACAGGAAAACTTGAGGTGCCCGACTTACTCTCGCTCGCTCTTTCGTTCGTTCATTCTCGCCAGTAGGCACTAGAGCGAGCCATAGTCTGCTTAGCTCGAGACGGTTCTGCTGGAGATCGGGGCATGTCCCATCGCCTCTGTATCACCCGAAAGTCGTGGGTCGCAGGGAAACCATAGCGGATTTTGGGCAGGCTTGGGAGGATCTGCACCTCCGACCGAGGTTTTCGCGGCTTTGGATACGTTTCTGATGCGCAGTGGTTCTGGACGTGTCTATTTCCGTAGCTTTTATTGGTCGTAGGGCATGTGAGGGACGTAGGATCTTTTGTAGAGAGTCCGAGAGACAAGTGTGTCAGCACATTGCCCTCCAAGGACATTTGCTCTACGCCAGTCTGAACGGTCTCGATTGCCCGAGAAAAAGTAGTGTTCGCAACTGCTGTTCCGCGAGCACACACGAGAGAAGGGAGAGGATAGGAGAGAGAGTGGGAGGGAGATTGATTTTGGGATTGCTTGATTTCTGCAGAAGTAACCAATGGCGCCGGTGCAGCTAAAGCTGCGTAAGGCGCTTGGCGTAGTGAAGGACCAAACCAGTATTCAGCTGGCCAAAGTGGTCGGTTCACCAGATCTGGATGTTGCTCTCGTCAAAGCGACCAGTCACGATGAAGTTCCCACTGACGAGAAGTATATGCACGAGCTCTTGCACTACGTCTCGTACTCACGCGGCTACACTAGTGCATGTATCGCAGGTCTGGCGAAGAGGCTTAGCAAAACTCACAATTGGATAGTCGCCTTGAAGTCTCTTATGGTTATTCATCGGTTGCTGCGGGATGGGGATCCCTTATTTGAGCAGGAGCTTAATCAATCGGGTAGTCGTTACGGGGTTCGAATCCTTAACATGTCCAACTTTAGGGACGACTCGGCGTCGAATGCCTGGGACTACTCTGCGTATGTTCGAACTTACAGTTTGTTCCTCGATGAGCGTCTCGAATGCCTAGCTCTCTTGGGCATGAGTAGGGCTGACAGAAAATCGCCCGATGGTAGAGAAGGTAGGAGGTCCCCTGGATATGATAACAGGAGGACCCCCAGGGACGAACGCAGCAGGCATAGCAGCTACGGTGGTGAATACGATGATGACCGCCGAGATGGAAGTTCTAGGAACGGGAATGGAAATAAGGGGAACGTCCCAATGAAAGAGATGAACACGGAAATGCTCTTAGACAAGCTCCCAAGGCTGCAGAGGTTGCTGGAGCGCGTCCTCGGTTGCCGTCCCACAGGGGCTGCACGGGTCAATCGGCTAATCCAGATCGCTCTGTATTCAGTGGTCACGGAGAGCTTCCAGCTGTATGCCGATCTGAGCGAGGGCTTGAGTCGTCTCGTCGACGGCTTCTTCGAGATGGAGCACTCGACTGCAGTCAAGGCATTCGACGTCTACAAGCGAGCTGCCAAGCAAAATGGCGATCTCACGTCATTTTACGCTCTGTGCAAAGACATCGGTGTGGGTCGCTCATCTGAGTACCCCAGCGTGAGCAGAATTTCAGCGGATCAGCTCGATGAGTTGGAGGACCACTTGAGGGATGGCCGCACGGCGCTCGTAGTACGTAAGGAGAAGAGCCCCGAACCTCAGCCTAGACCCAGGAGCCCTTCTCCTGAGCGTACCTACGAGGACTCGATGGCTATGAAGGCTCTTCCTGCTCCCCCAGTCGTGGAAGAGCCGGTACCCGAGGAGCCCAAGCCCGAGGTCAAGGAGCCCCCTCAAACAAATGCAGATCTATTGAATCTAGGAGAAGGTGCTCTGACTGCTGAGGAGCAAGAAGATAGGCTTGCCCTTGCTTTGTTCACTCCAGGAGGTGGAGCAAATGGAAGCTGGGAGTCCTTCGGTCCCGGTGATCAGCGGAACAAGCCGAGCACTACCGATGCCTTCGCAGAGCTGGCCGGGAAGGCCGGGTGGGAGCTTGCATTGGTGGAAACTGCCAGCAATCTTTCGCAACAAAAGCAGGACACCTTAGCAGGTGGTTTCAATCCTCTCCTTCTTGATAGCATGTATGAGCAAGCGGATGCTAACAGAAGGTTGGCCACCGTGCCCACCGGGAGTGAGAGCAGCGTCGCCATTTCAACCGGCGCCGGAAGGCCCGCCTCGGGAGTATTGGCCCTGCCAGCTCCAGTTGCGGTCGCGATGCCTGGACAGGATCCTTTCGCTGCCTCGCAAGTCGTCCCACCTCCGCCCTACGTACAAATGTCGGACATGCTGAAGAAACAACAGCTTCTTGCCCAAGAGCAGCAGATGTGGCAGCAGTACCAAAACGAGGGAATGCAAGGTTATTACAGCATGATGAGAGTTTACAACAATGGTCCAGTGTACTCACCTCCTCAAAATTCTTTGGCGTTTCCCTACCAAGGTCACGGTACGCCACAAACGCAATTTTCGTACCACTAACTAGATGTGCCGCCATTCATTGTAGAATTCTTATTCAGCGGTACTGTGTAGAGTTTGTCTCACACAAAATGCAGGAGACTGTTAGATAGGCTAGGATCCGCACTGAGGACGGGTCGTCTGCTTTCGTCAGTAAGGAGAATTCCTTTTCTCTTTCACCGAAACGAATCGATGATTTGCGCCATTTCCAGGTCGGTAGCAGAGACTACTGCTTTTTCTGGACTATTGTTTTTCCCTCAGAAGGGTCGATGTTCTCATACAGATATGTACATTCTTTGCTCTTATGAAAACGGTAGCGATGAAATGAAACGGCAGTGTTAGGACTGCTAAGTACTTGGCTTTATAATCTTCTGTACGAATGCATTACGCAGGAGACATGCATTTGCCAATTATTCATTCCACAATTTTAGTCTACTTGCGTACTTCTGAATCCCTGTACACTCGAACCATTGCATACTCGACTAGCCTTGATTCTTCTATTCACAACCCGAATTGTGAAACCACATTTACTGCGTTTGTTCAGAACTTCACAGCGCTCGTTTCCAGAATACAGTGTAACCACCAAACCATATGTGCTTTATCATATGAATGAATACTCTTTTTACTCCATGAGGATTCGCAGAACTACGAGTCTATCCATACTCTTTCCCAGTGTTACTTTTTCTGCAGGTGATGCAGACTGCATTTTTTTCGTGTGGACTCGTTCAGTTGGAAATGCTAGCAATGAACTCGAACATGTATGAACTCTGACAAGGAAGGGGATATGAAGGAAATATCCAGATCATGAAGTTTAGCTTTTGATTGTTTGCTCAATCTGTACGAGGGAGGGTCTTTCAAATAGAGGACTCTTTTCATGCATGAGATGCCGTTCGTGTTAATGTTGATCGCGCGTAGTTCAGGGAGATATTCTGTCCTAATTGTGGAGCGAGGCATGCAGGAAAACTGGGCAGCACGACGTAACATGGAGCACGATATACAGCATATAGCATTTTAGACAAGAATTCAAGACAAAAGCAGCATTGAGTGGGAATATTGTGTCCTGTAATGTAGTGACGAGGCGTTGAATCTGGAATACATCAGGTGCTGTATTTGGGTCAGCCCCGCCTTCTCAAGATGTCAGGTTTTGCGCTAAAGGTTCCCATGAGGACTCCGCCGTAAACTCCGCAAGTATAGGACTGTACCGCAATTGCGGCAGTACCGGGCGTGTACTGGCTACTGGCCCTACCATCCACAGTGTTCCATACCCTTCTCGCAACTCTCTGACTCGACGCGAGTACGGGACCGGTACAAAAGCCGGGAACGAGAGGGCACCTCGTAGGAAGCAACGTCGTAAGCTTGACACTGTGTAACCAGTCCAACTTCGCATACCGTCGCCGTCCATCTACGGCGAGAGTATGCCAAGTCGCACTGGGTACACACGCTTACGCACAAGTAAACGCGCATCGGACCTGCGACACCACGGCATCGCATCGGCGGTTCCACATTCCAGCGGTTGGAGCCATCCACGTGCAGCCCGATGTGCGCATCTTTTTCAAATGTTGACAAGTACATCCTCTTTGCTTCGGCAGATGAAGCTGCCCTTTCTGCTGTATCGTGGTCCGTGGCCCTTCACGGAGCTTTGTTCGGGCCTCGCCTCGGATTCACGCTCTGCTCGGTCCAAAGGACTACGGACAGGAAGATTGCCCCATTTATTCTCCACTGTATATTCTTTAACGAAACGGGTCGGGCCAGAGGGTGACCCGTTACACGACGAGGGACCGCATCCACGTCAGTCGAGCACGCGCGCATCGATTGGATTTGACTCCGTCACCCCAAACCGGAACGTTGCCATTGCAACTTGAAAGCCCGTTACTGCATCTTCTTTGTACCCGACCCCTTACTGCGCGTCACCCTGCATCAAGACGCACTACTCGTGGAGCTGTTCCGTCACCTCCCTTTAAATCGGCATCCCCGTCGACTGTACCAACATTATGAGGCCTAATAGAAAGTTTTTCGTTTGTGCATTGACCTCACATAAGCATAAACGCAGTGAATGGACACGTAAGACATCGAAAGGAGGTGTGACGAGAAAAGATGGGATCCAAGGCGAAACGCAGAAGAGCAAAGGCTTCGCTTTTAATCTTCGGCATGTGTAACAGAAAATCTGTGCTCCATACCGCCACAAGCAGCTACAAGAACCAACCCCCCATTCGACTCCAGGTTCCAAGAAGATGTCATTTCATCACATCGTAGACCTAAATATGTGCTCCCCATGGTCCTCTTTGAAGATAAGTTTAACCTCATTTGTCATGGAGTTACTAGCATATGTGGAAAAGACTTCCGTCTCTTCCTCGTCGAAACTCAAATCTTGTGTGTAGACAGCGCAGTTCTGCAAGTCAGTCTCACGCTTACGAAGCCAAAAGCCAGAAGTTAACGAAATGAAGGGAGGAAGTAGGACTGGGAAGGAGTAGAAGAGAGTGAAGTATGATGAATGACAAACGTTGCCCGAGAAAGATCATGGACAGGAAGGGGCCATAGAGAGACAGTAGAAAGAAAGCATGGGAAATCAAGCCCGCTGATTTGAAGCAAATCAAAGAACCAGTCAACATTAATGGGACTGGGGGCACATTTTCAGTTGTCATTATCCAACTAGGAATTTGTCTTTTGTTTGTCACGGCTGTTAAGTATCGGTACCATTTCCCAATGCGTAGAGAATTTCTCATAGAGAATTTATAGAGAATTAGAAGTAGAGAAAGATCTTTCTCTACTTCTACAAGAAATGTATGTGGTCATCAATAGGCTGTAATTAATGATGTAATTCATGTCATGGCCAAAGTAGAATCTATGTGGAAGGTACATAAAAATAAATATTTTAATGTTTCGGAGAGGAGCATTATTTTTTTAGAGTCACATGTTATTAGATGAAAAAGAGATAAATTACTTGTGTCATTTAATTCTAGGTCTCATTAATAATAAGAAACATGCATATAATTCACACAAAAATATCTATAAATGCAATCAATTCTTGTAATATAATAATTTTTTAGCATTATGAGTTAGGAAATAATAATTAATCTCTTATGATGTTAAACATTGAAATCCTAAAAATATCATCAAATATCTGCATATTAAAAGTATAATAGCTAGATTTCAAAAAATTTAAAACATGATATCTCTTATATTTTTCATCATTAATTGTTCAAAGGTTGTGTAGATTCATTTAAAGAATTTTTTAAAACTTCAAGAACAAAGATGAACCAGAAGGTACAATTTCTATGATGATAAGAAGACAAAAAATTTTATTTCTTTATTGAAAAATTGTAACAATAATAATTTTTATAATAAGATATATTTTATATAAGATTTTATTGCATAAAAAATAAAGAAGATGACATTTGAAAATTTTATATACTTCATTTCAGAAAATCGAAAAATAAAATAATTCAAATTTGATGATATATATATATATATATATGATACTAATATGATTTCAATCATGAAAAAAAATGTTGCACACTATAAGCAAAATTATAAATGTAAGTGCAATTATTGATCAACAAATAACTTGTAAGTTAAAATTTGTTTGAAAAACTCAATAAATTGTAAAAAAAAATCTAAAATTTTTTTAAAAAATTTCAATGAAATACATAATTTGTAAAGAAAATTTTCATAAATATATTTTTTATGACAAATTAATCTTTTTTCATTTTTAAAAGAAGATTTGTGAAAAAAAATTGCATAAAAAAGATGTAGATACAATCAGATTCATTTTTAATTATCAAATTTTAATCCATTTTTTATTGAATATTTTTATTAATTTTTAATATTATTTTTACTCCAATATATTTTATTATTGCTATTTATTATGAACGATATGATCTTTATATGTAATCTTGTGGCTTTTGTGAAAAAAGTTACATGATTTAGAAGCTATTAAAACAAAATCATAGACTCAATTAAAAAATTGTATGATTTCATGAGATCACAAGTATTTAATGGAAGTATGTTGATTGTTGTGTTTCATAATCTGGTTAATGAAGTTTTTGGCTTCAATTTTTTGGATGTATTATGCACTTGTTGTATAAGAGATAGATTTTTTTTAAAAAATAGGCTTAAAGCTTTCGTTGGTTTTGAATTCAGTATGAATGTTATTGGTAGAAGAAAAAATTTTTTGAAATTAAATATTCAAAGAGCTTTGGAGTATAACTATTTATGCTTAGTTTGAGATAAATATGCAAGAAAATTACTTACAAGGTTCAACATGAAATATAATAGAAATATGACTTTGGAGTTTTAGTTTTTCACTTTAAAGTTCATAAATTTTTGGTCTGACAAATGAGTTGAAGAATAATTTAATGTTCAAAATCTCCTACCACAAAGCAACGTAAAGGTTCATGCTTTTGATAATTTGCATTAGATTTGAGGTTGCTTTCACTCCATAAAAGTCCAACAAATATATGTCAAACTCACCAACTTAATCAGATACTACAACTTCCAAGCATCCAATATGAAAGGTTTTATCTAAGACATTTTCTTCAAATACATTGAAAAATTAAAATTTAAAAGTTTTTAATATGTCAAAGATTATTGAATTTTAATAATGTATTCAATGCAATTTTGTATTAATGTCAAATTTTTTATTAAACATAAATATGACATTATAGGGGAAAATTTTTAAATTAAATATGAAATCACATTTACATTAGATGGAATATTTGAAGATTTCAATTGCTGAAACTTAATCCATTACATAAATTGAATTTTAAAAACATTTCCTTTGCCAAGAATTGGTTGGCGAATGTTGTCGTCCAAGTAGAGGAACTACTCCGATGGGAATTCTGTGTAATCCACAAATGCATTTTGATTATATACCATATGTTGGGTGACACCCAAATCCACATATTATGTGGAATCTGCCCCGATCAAGGAGAGTCAGGTGACGTACAACCGATGCTTAGCGTTTGCATTAGAGTGTGTTGAAGAGCTCTCTTGCTTCTTCTTTCAACACTCATTCGCAAGATAACGGCTCTTCTTGCAATAGAAGCATTTCATCTTCTGCCGGAGAAAAGATGACTTCGATGTGCATTCTTGACGTGCTGAAGAGGAAGAGCCTACGTCATCAGATTTTCTACGATGCTACTTAGAGGGATTTCACCCTCTCCTCTTCGTGGTGTATAGTGATGTTCTTCCCTTAGTCACCGCTTCCTTCTTGAGATGTACCTCTTCAAGCATGAGATTGTTTATGACAATCTGTGTGGAGCGACTCACTTATTCGCATGGAACGAACAAAGATTTGGTATTCATCAGAAAGACTTTGTAGGAGACAGATCAAGGCTTCTCCATTTGAGATGGTCTATACTATGATAGCCAATTGATCAAGAATGAGTTGAAACTCAGTAACGAGTGTTGACACAGGTTGGTCTGGCTGCATTTTTTGAGAATGCAGCGCTTCTCTCGAATGCAATTGATTTGGATTTGATTTCGATTCATTTACTCTTGCGAGCTCGTTCCAGGCCTCAGTAGCTATCCGACAGCGTGAAATTAGTGTCTGCCTTTCACGTTCCATGACATTGTTCAACATTGCCAAGGAAAAGAGATTTTTGTCGCTCCATGGCATTGTTCAACATTGCCAAGGAAAGTAGATTTTTGTCGCCCCATGCTTTCTTACTCCATGCGCTGGACGTAGGTGCGTCGGTCGTAGAACCGAGGAGAGTGGTTGGCCGGAGCTCCGTTATTTCAATAAGTTCCATCAATCTTTGAGTTCAAATGATCCGGCTCATCTGGTCTTTCCAGGAGTGAAAATGTTTCCCATCAAATTTGAAAAGATCCTTCCATGGGTATCGTATGAAAGGTCATGGAGTAGTCATCTTCCTTGCAACATCTACTCGTTTTCAGATACTTCACGTTGTCGTGCAATATACAGATGCTACTTAATTATTTTTTTGAGAAATGTAAATTTTTGTGAAATTTTGTGAAACTTTGTGTTTGAATTGCAGGAAATTTTTAAATTTTGCTCAAATTTTTTAAGAATTTCTGAAATTTGGACTTCACAATGCTTCAAATCAGCACTAACAAATATTAAACAAGTTCGGTCGATCAAATTTGATCAAATTTGGAGCCGAATTTTGGAGCTTAGTGTGGATTCGGTATCTCTTGTAATTGCTCTCTCCGATGTCATAGAGTTGGTTCAAAGCAAAAAACGTACTCCTAGCTTGTCTGGATTCAAGCATACTACTAGCTTGTTTGGATTCAAGCGTCATTGAATGAGAATGGAATCAGCTCTAATACCATATTATATCATATGAACAATTGAGAGTGAGAGATCACACCAAGTTGATGAAGGGTTGAAGCTTGACTAAATTCAAGCATACTACTAGCTTGTTTGGATTCAAGCGTCATTGAATGAGAATGGAATCAGCTCTAATACCATATTAAATCATATGAACAATTGAGAGTGAGAGATCACACCAAGTTGAGGAAGGGTTGAAGCTTGATTGATGGATGAACACATGTGTACCGGATTGGATTTATGTACCCAATCCGGATAGGACCAAAGGCTACGAGAGGCACACGGATCACATCTCCCCAAAGGTATATGCCCCTGACAGTGAGACACATCCATGTCAAAAGACGCTTCCATATGAAGGATCGCATCCCAAGGTGTTATCCATACTAAGTACTAGAAAAGCAGTAATCTCTAAATCTCAGTTTTAACGACTAGTATAATAATGTACAAGTTCGAAGTAACAAAGAGTAATCTTTATTCTAACAATTATGTATTGGCAATTTCAAAAACAGGAGCGAATGGATTATACACACTTGTCATAGATTGAAATTAAAAACATAACATTTTGAAAATTCATTGTGTCAATGCAAATTTTTTATATTTAATTTTAAATTAGATGATGAATATATACTAATGTACATCAACAAACTAATAATAGTTTGTTAAAAAATATTTTTTTTTCTAATAAAGTAATGAAATTGATAAAAAACAAACAGATATTTAAATTCTGAATACATTGATCGACATGATTTTAAATTTTTTTGGGATAAATCATGAAAAATTAAAATTTTATTGCTCAAGCATTTAAATAAAACGAACAGTAAATAGTACTACTATAAAGATTTTCTTTTGTCATATTTCAGCTATAATGTAATTTGAGCTAATTTATAATACATATATAATGTAATACATGCTTCAACTCAAATATAAACCTTTATTAAATTTTTAACTGAAATATTCAGAGAAGTTGAAAACATAAAAACTTGAGTCATATAAAATTATTGTGAACTAAGAAAAGTTCTATTACTTAACTATGAAGATATATGTAAGAGTTAGCATAAATGATTTGAATTGGAAGTAAAAATGTTGTGTCTTTTGTGTGCATTTGAGCTTGTTGAGGTGAAGCATGTATCAATATTTATAGAATTTCTTGTCATTCTGAACGTGACTGTATCATTACATTTATTCCAAAATATATTTTTTTTCCATTTTTTTTGAAATTTCGTTTATTGTATGTTGATGTCATTATAATTCGAGAACATAACTTTTTTGTGTGTTAAACTATTCAATATCAAACTATTCTCATATGGAACAATTCTTGTAATGTTTACTTAGAGAAGAATCTTATTTTTAATAATCAATTTATGTTCAAAAGATTTGAAAATAATATGTTAAATAACTATGTTGAATTGTGATTTTTGAAAACTTATGATATATGTAACATATTTATTTATTTGGACCAGAAAATAATTTTCATTGAATATTTTCAATAATTTATAAAATTAAATTTTTATATAAAATGAAGATGTAACAAATCTTTATTATGTCATAATAGTAAAAAATGAATATAATGTTCCAACATCTAAGATGTTCAATTATCTATATCAAAGTGTCTTATTTTGTTTTGTTTTGTATATAATCTAAGACGATTGTTATAGGATAAATAAACTTTGTTGAACACCGTAAGAATAAATAGGCACAATAAATTGAAAAATATGATAATGATTGTTGACTACATTGAAATAATATAGTATCACTCTCACGCTTACTTGTTAACAAAAATTCTGTACGTTTTAATAACTTCATGTCCAATTTAATTTTCCATCTAACTAGCATGTAAATAACCACCCCCTCAACAAACATGATGCTACACCATTTCTTCAATATTAAACTGGTCCATCCAAACCCTTAGCCTTTTTTGAATGCAAGACTTAGAAATACAAAATCTTACATGACATATAGTCAAGTTTGTATGTTTAATCCACAATGAGTAATAGAATTCCTGCTACATGTCATTTGAGATGTAGCATGTCATGTCAAATGACAGTAAAATGTATTCGAATATGTAGAGCCAACAAAATAATTCCTCCATGTAAAAATCATTCCTAAATGGTTTTGACATCGAGTAGCATTAACCGTTGCTAAGACAATAAATTCAATGACGTTGATAATACGAGTAGTTTCCGGATTAAGTAAGAACTAATGAGAAATCTATAATTACAGCTAGGTAGATGATTTATCTATAATATACCCGATGAAGCAGAAATAAACGCGTGAACTCATTTGGAATATATGGTACTGAGACATATCTCCTTATTACGAATAAGTGGAAAAAAACCCTGTCAGGTATTCCATTCAAAGATATCTGTGAACCAAATGGAAAAGATGGAAGGATCTAGAAGTGCCCGTATAGTCGGCAGGTGGGCGACCATGTGGCGCCTGGGCTGCGCGTGCAGGTGTGCTCCGCTGATCGACCAGATTGAGTGTCATCGGGATCGTGCATTGATTCTTCTTTCTTGACTCAGTTTGAGGCCTGACTACGGTTTACAATCTTCTGCATTGCATATGCTTCCGTTGGCTGTTGCTTTCCGTCGCTGGTATCTTGTGAGAAATCACACCTTCCGATTTAGACCAGTTTCCTTCCATCACGAGGTAAGAATATCGAAGATCATAGCATAAAGCCATGATGCATACCTGATTGTGTGATTTCTTCCCGTCGTTTATCCTAGAGCTTTTCGTCTGTTGTCTAGTAGACTGTAAAACGAGCCCGAGGAAGAACTGAACCTGCAGTTGTCATTGACAGTAATGTTCTATATTCATATAATGTGGGAAAGATCAAAGTGCAAACTGTAAGGATCAGCCTCACCTATTTTTTTGCTCACTACTAGTCGATTGAAAGTGGTTTCTCAAATTTCTTGTTGATCGAGTCATAGAATGAGCCTTGAGCTCGTTATTTGCTGATATTGTTTGCTACCTACGGGTAGCTTGCGTTACGTCTGAACTTAATTGGAATTAGCCAATGGTTCTAGCAGTATTTGAATATCCTAACATGCAGCCCGCGACTCAAGCTCACATTCTTAGACCGGCTTTTGTCTGGTGTCTTTTCAGACATTTGCATACTTGGATGTGCAAGTATCGGCAGCCCAGCAATTGCACATTCAAGTATGCACACAAGGGGTCGTTGTATTTGTTCTTGATAGAATTATATAGCGGTCATTCTTTTGTCTGCTTTAATCCGGGCAACAAAGAAAGTCTCCATACACGTTCGATAAACTACGTCTCGTGTGAGCAGCAGAAGAGCCTTCTGTCATCATAGAGAGGAGAATGTGATGATGTGGTGGATGATCTAGCTCACCACATGCCCATGCTCTATCGGTATGGTTATTGATACATAATGGTAGTGAAGACAGAGATCTAGAACATTTAAATTTTGAGTCAAGTGATGCAGATATGTCGTTGCTGCGAGTTGCTGATTCTACTCACTAGTGGACAAATCAAGTTTTGGTTGTCCTTTTAAGCACATCAAAGTTCCAATTTTGTCGGCATATTTTACGTGTGTTGTATGTATTGATACAGATTTTCAAGCCAACATGCATCAAAGGATGCAGCTTGTGAAGGTTCTAGCTAATTCCGTTTCTGACCCTGGACATAATAAGTTCTGGACTGCCATTAGCTTAGTCGCAGGCACACTTGAATGCTCGAACGGTGCAAGGAGCTACCGTAATCTCTATGATTCCTAAGTAGGTGGAGAGGTTTTTCTGACATCTGGATTCTGAGGTAAGTCATTCGAAACAGCTTTTTGTGTGTGTATGATCATTTATCTCCTCTTTAAGCAAGGAATAGCCAGGTTTACAATACACAGTCGTATTTGTGGTGGTGTGTAAATTACAGCATACAGGTGCAAAGTGAGAACTTTACGGCGAAACAAATTAAACTCTTAGGATTGGTTGGAATTGAGTTGAATCTTTTAATGCAATTTATCCAATTGATGGTATGAATGATCTTGGTTGAGAGGTACATGAATTTTCTTGATTCACTGACAAATATCGTCTGACGGTAAACTCATGAGATGACTTAAATCAACCATAAAAGTCGTTCATGCTCGGCAAGCCGAGCATAAACGACTTTTGTTACGCTTAGCAACTCCCATTTTGATACAGCTGTCAGACTCGGGGGAGAAGTGCCAGAGAACCATGTCTGCACAGGTCCAGTGTTCACTTGATGGTTATTTAGAGTTAAAAAAGCCCTTTTGACTGTTTGTTCTTGCTGGGACTAATCAGGGAGTTGTTGTGAGATTCTGAGTAGTTTGTTCGTTTGAAAGAGGTGGTTATGTGTTCGGGTCAAAAGTTGTGCCCCGTTTCAAAAAACTTTTACATCTTCATTCCTATATAGTAATGTGAAAGCCCGGACTAGTTCAAGATACGCGGCACGATTTCTCAAATTTAAGCCTTTGAAAGTTACGTTTCAGCACAAGGTTTTGAACTCACCTGAAGGATAATACTCTTCAGTGCTGAATTGCACTGCAAAACTCTTCGGAGGGAAAGTCGAATCAATATGTTGAACAGGAAAGGAAGGATAGCTAGATATTCCTGCATGAGGGAAGCAACTCGTTGAAATTTGCTCTTCAATACGTAAAGCATGGTACGCCTCTAGAATCAGCCTTTACGTGCTGTATATATGCGCTGTTTCTGCTAATTTATTGCCAAATATGTTCCGGAATGAAGAAGTCAACCTTGAGGTATGTTTGTTTCTCCCTGAACGTATTGTTGTGCAAATATTGTCTTCCCTAACCGGGAAAGGGCCTCCACAGAATCGGCGGAGTCTGCTTTATATAGTCATCGCAGTTTACCAAGAAGCTGTTTTTATCTCATGTGAAGCCGAAGCTGAAGTAGGACAACGCGAAGGCTGATACGTTTTAATGCACATTGCTTTTCCGACTTCTGCGAAGATTTTCCTTGACCTTTTATCTGATGATCAACCGGGAACGATTGGCAATTCATGTCTGTAACCTGTCTATTCCGCGTGGTTGTGCTTTTATTGAAAGCATTTGCTATCTGAAAAGGAAGGAGGGTCTGTAAATTTATCTGGTCTAGGAAGTCCAATGCAACCGGAAGCACGATAACGGTGTAGTTTTTGCAATACTTCGAAGGCCGAAGTGCCCGAAAAATGCACAAATTATACTCAGTGCACCTTCGAACTCAATAGTCGATCCGTGTAATGGGTCAGAAATACGAAATATTGGTTACCAGTGGAAGCGGACGTACTACAAGCAAAGACTGTGCGTAGTTGATAATGCGACACGCGTAAGTACATCAACAATGTATCGAAACCTGCCAAGTTGCCATCGGCTACTGGATCCTCTTATTGATGCTACATACACTTCCCAATACATCGAAGCGAAGTGAAGTGAAGTGAAGAATGGAATGAGCTTTAGATAACCAGCGTCGTCGACTGTCCAGCACGAGTTGTTCAATCGCATTATTATCAGGCTACTCTGGTGAAGTGGACTTCACCTAATTGCAGATGCGAGCAACGCGAACGCGTGTCGTCGATCTATCACTCGGGCCGTCGGCGCCGAAGAAGAAGCTGATGAAACGGAATCTAAAGAGACGAATAAGGTGGTTCACGGACCATATCACCATCTCCCGACTTCCCAACGCCGGACCTTAGCGACGGACCAAAGTGCCCGATATCTTTAGACTGTCGCCAGCTGAACCGAAGGTCGGGGGTGCCCATGCTCTCCGCTCGACCGGTCTATTAGTGGCATCTTGTCTCTGGGCCATGCAGGGCCAAATTCCAGCTCCAAATTCCAAATTCCCGGAGGCCGCCAATCCACGGTCCCGCAGGCCGGATGGACCGGAACAGAAACTTTTGCCGTTCATTCGGGCGGACGAGATTCCAGGGCCTGCCCAAGATGCGAGCGAGAGAGCGAGAGGCGGGTAAAAAACAGGGGAGGCGGCAGGAGCAAGGCAACAAGGAGGAAGGGGAGCGAAGGAGGGAGGGAAGGGGCCAGGGAGGGTAAAGAGGAGAGCAGGGGAGGGGACAGGAAGAGCAGCGGTGAGAGGAGGGAGGAGTATAGTTTTGTTCATATAAGGGAAGGAGGAGGAGAGATCGATCGGCGATCGGATGGATCCGACAGATGGGATGGGAGAGCTCCAAGGACAGCTCATAAGAATCAAGGGTCTGAAATGTGAGAATCATCGGATGATTTGTGGTGACTTAGCTGTATCATGGAGCTATCTCTCACAGCCTTCCCTCTTCCCCCACTGCGGAGTGTTGGGCAGCGGGATGCTGCAGATCTTGACATTTGGTGGGAGAGTGTGTGATGAGTCAGATCGAGCTGGGCCATGGGTGACTTCAACAAGTTTGTCCGTCCCCGCATCACCTCTTTACGGCACAAGTCTTCAGCCTGCTGGACTGGGAAAAAATTTCGAACTGCGCTCTCCTGCAGCAGCAGCGGTGGTGCTGCCAGCCTGCCTCCTCGAAACCTTGTCGCTGGATTGTGCTCTCTCGCCCTGGACGACATACCGTGAGTGAGTGAGTGAGTGAGCGAGCGAGCGAGCTATCGAGCGTCCCTGCAGGGCATGCTCGAGAAATAGTTGAGCACTACACCCTTTGGCCTTGCCTCTCCTTGCGGCCCCCGTCTCCTCTCCTTTCCCCGCCTCGACTGGACTCACCTCGCCGCCGTAGTCCAAGTGTTTATCTCTCCTTCCCATCGGCAGTGTTGACGCCGTGTCCTGCATGAAGGTTTTGCAGCAGGCAGGGTATGCATCGAGAAGATTTTCTGCTTCGGCCCGAGTCTGACAGAAAGTGGAGCGTCGCTTTCAAGACGAAGCCGGAGCACGAGGGAAGAACGGACGATTCTCGTAGCTGAAGAGAGTCCAGCATGCAGGCAGGAAAGCGAACTAGATTTTCCCCTTCGTCCTGCTCGCCATCCGTCTCCAGAGAAGCAGAGCCAGAGAGGGATCTAGGAGCCAAGGGACCGACCAGTTCGAGCTCCGGGGAAAGGAAGCATGAGCGCGAAATGGAGCAAGCGGACGATAGGGATGATGACTTAAGGATGGAAGGATGTGACGAAACCAACTGCGGTGAGGAAGAGGACGAGGAGGCTCAGGAGGCAAGTGCAGATGCCGATGACCCCGACGACAGCCAAGTAGAAGAGGAGGATGTAGATGCGGAGCGCTTAAGTTTTCTGAACAATTTTGTGGCCGAGGTCATAGAAGACCTGCGATCACCAGATGGCGTCGAAGACGGGCTGGGTATTGTCAGGGATCCTGATCCTAGTGCATCAGAGCAGTTCTTTCAGTGGCTTATCCATCCCTTGAGCGTTGGGAGGTTCCATGAACAGTTTTGGGAGAAGAGACCTTTCCTCATAAGACGCCCTCGGAATCGGAGTCTGTACGAGGGCTGGTTTGAGAAGGAGGACATTGAAACACTCTTTGAGCGAGAAACCCTAAAATATGGTATGAATGTGGACGTTACGAAGTACAAGGATGGAGCAAGGGCGAATTTCTCCACAGAAGGTGCTGCGAAAGCTAATCAGGTCTGGAAAAAATTTGCCAAAGGCTGGTCTGTGCGGATACTCCACCCTCAGCGATGGAGTAACTCCTTGTTTCTATTGCTCTCCGCATTTGAGAGGTACTGGCATTGTGTTGCAGGCTGCAATGCCTATCTCACACCAGCCAAGTCACAGGGCTTCAGTCCTCACTACGATGATATCGAAGCATTTGTTCTCCAGACAGAAGGAAAAAAGAGATGGAGATGTTACAGACCTCGATCACTTGACGACGTACTTCCTAGGTTTTCAAGTCCTGACTTCTCCCAGGACGACATAGGAGATCCGATCTTGGATGAGATCCTCGAACCGGGAGATTTATTGTAAGTGCATCTTCTACATGTGTTCCACATGCACCCTCCACTCTTTCATGCACGTCGGTTTGATTTAGAGCTCAATAATGTAAACGTATTCAGGCATATGAGTCTTCCTTCTACCTTGAACACTATAAAGAAAATTAAACAGTGGACCACTTTGGATGGGGCTCCTCGTTCGCCAAACCACATGTGGCAACTATGCCACATGTGGTTTGGCGAACGAGGTATTGTTTTGGTGTCCATCAGCGCATGTTGGTGTTTAGTGGGGTCTTGAAAGACATGTAGACGGGCTGCTGACATCAAAGACTTTGAATAACCGACAGGAAAATGTGTTTGTCATTTGGGAAGTCACTACTTCTTGGCGTTGGTTTGTCCTATGCTACAACCTATGCACATTGTGCTTGGTCGAAGTTTTTTTTCACAATTTGCGGAAATTGTGTTCGAGGTCTGATGACTACGTTGCGTAAAGCGGGCATCTCTGATAGGAGTGTGTTTCTTTCTAGTTGTACTTTGTTCCTACCTCGTTGGGTCGACCGACAGAACTAGGAGCGAAATTAATGAACATAGTGAGGACCAATAGAATCATCCAAAGTTTCTATTGTGGGTGATTAGGCAAGTCATAGTGGCGTCTAGGGAAATTGGTAATACTTGAAGCCGACGCTCATTTTTGCACATCTTTTCAGATATATGCCAAGAGGAACAATCCATCAAGCGGAAGCAACATCGGATACTCATTCTCTTCACATCACAGTGTCTGTGGGGCAGCGAAATACATGGTCTGACTACCTGGAACTAGCTCTTCCTCGAGCTTTAGAGCTGGCCTGGGAAGACCATTTGCTACTGAGAGAAAGTCTCCCGAGAGACTTTGCAACTTACATGGGGGTTGCTCATTCTGACAAAGATGATCCCCGAAGAGCTGCGTTTTTAGAACGTGTTATCTTGTGCATGGACCGTCTGGTGAAGAGTGGACCTTGGGACTCAGCTGTCGACCAGATGGCGGTAAAATTTTTACAAGCCAGATTACCACTTCCTCATGTGCCTGACTCGGAGGCGACAAAGGAAGGTGGTTCATTGATTAAATTGAACATGATGTCGAAAGTACGATTGGTTGCCCCTGATGTGGCAAGGTTTGTCGTAGAGGAGGATTCAGCAGTTTTATACCACATGCTGAATAATTCAAGAGCTTTGCACAACGAGTTGAGTGACAGTTGTGAGGCAGGCTCTGTCCCAGGTTCATCCTTGGAGTTCCCACTGGACTTTGCTCCAGCCTTGGAGGAACTCATTACTGCTTACCCTACTCCTGTTTGTGTGTCCAACCTTTCTATTGATTCGAAGCAGGCTGCCTTGGACCTGGTGACTCAACTCTACAAATCTGGACTGTTGGTTGTCATGAAGTGAGCGAACTGTGTTTTAGGAGGTTTTCTTTGGCTCTCGTCTTGGGAGGACTTCTCTCTCCTTCGTAGCCGGGTGGATTGCACAGGCCTTATGAAAAGTGGATGGTAATGCCAAGGTGACACGACTTCCGAGATTATTTCCCCAGTCACCGTCCTATCTTCAAATTTTGATTCATTTAGTGCCGGGTCTCATTCGGTCTTTAAATTTGCAGACAGTGCTGTTAATGCCGTAGAGTTTGTGTACATATTGCCGTAGCAGTGAAAACCCTTTTCCACATACTCGGCAATGTTCGGCTAGATATCTGGGTGCAGGACCTACAAGTATTTGGATCGTTTTAGTGAAGTCCAGTGTTCGTCACTTGTATAGGAAGTCTTTCTGTTCTGGACTCCAACAAAACATGTTCTACTGAGACAGGATACCCGTAATCTCTGCAATGGTATCTGCATCATGATACTCTTTCCTCTTTCAGGCTATTGATGAATCTGATGAAGTTAGTAAGCTGCACGCTTGATCAGAGCAGCTACAGTTACTTACGTTCTTTCTTATAAAGACTTTCAGGTCACTTTTATAAGAGCTGCCTATTGAGGACCAGAGATTGCAGGAGTTATCACTTTTTAAGCTAGTAATTAAAACTTCTTGCATCTACTTTCCAGTCCTTTTTCTCATCCTTTTTTGTCTGGTATTATTCTACTTAATGGTACCTGTCAAGTGTAATCAACGTATGTACGACCTTGAAGTGTTAAGGGGCTGGCATCTTCATGGTTTCTCTATCCCGTTTTGCAAAGAGCGGGTTATACTGATGCCTGCATCTTCTCCTTTGAGAGAATGAGAAATCTGTTGATTATCGAGAGCAATTTGGCTACTGTGACTACGGGTTTGTGTTTTTGTTCCACTATCGATTTGAATATTTTGTGTGATCCTTTGTTTTAAATGAATACAAATGGTTGACTCTGGTACACAGAAAATATTGTGCTCGCGAATGAATGTCGGCTGTATTGAATCTCAGAGTTGTAGTATCAGTTTGAGATTGCGGTGTCACAGGCAGCAGTACAGCAAGAACCATTTCGTATACACGGTTGGCGTAAAATTTTATTAAGCTTAACTTTTCATACGAACCAGCTCTATTCCGTCACATTTAGGGAGTGTTGTGCCAGCTGCTAAGTGGTGCGTTGCCATGAGTCATTCTTGCATTCTCCAGCCGGTTTCAAGTGTTCATAATCTCGTTAGGCTGGTTCGTTTTTGTCACATCAAAGTAAATTTAGAATCTTTGGTAATTTTCTTGAGTCCAAGTCTAAACAAAAATGATGGTGACAGTATTATGACGTCTGTAGGGCTGCAGGATCGCACGATCACTGCACGAATTCTGTGTATGATAAAAAATTAGAACTGAAAGAGGTAATCAAATGGAAATGGAGGTGCAAGGGAAATATAGCTACCATCTATCACCCACAAGTAGGGGATTGACATATGTACTTAAAACCAGCACCTTCTACGTATATTGATACGCCCAAATTGCTAATTTCTTGTCTACTATCGATCTGAAGATGTTAAATAGCATGGCATCTACGGAAAGGGTTAAAGTCAGTGTACACTACTAAGGTGTAGGAAATTCTTCTGCTAAGCGAACATGAAATCATATCCATCCGGAGTAAAGTAGGTGATATCGTATCTAAGGCACGGACATCAAGCGAGACACAGTTATAATATAATATACTTCAATCTGCGCAGGGAAACGTGATCAAAAATCAATTGTGTGACTGCAGTATCAATCATACTGCAGTCATACTTGGAATCAAGGGAGTCATCTGACTTGGACATTCGGGTAAGTGCAGGTAGATATGTCCAGCAAATTGATTTATACTTCTCGACTTGATTGATGTACTCAAAGGTGGTATGGAGAAAGAGTGAACTGGGTTGTGATTAGAAAGAGCACGAGAGCAACTCTTCTAAACTCTATGGAGTAACTCACTTTAGCAAAATGCAAACAATACTTGAGGTTTATTTCCAAAAAGTCAGAAAAAACATAATTATGAAACACATAGTTTTCTTAAAGCAAAAATAAGGTGCAATTTTCCAATTTAAAATGAAGATGATTTAAGAAGATTACAATCTGAATCTTAACCATCACCTGCACATAGAGTCAAACATATCATAACACCTAACACATCGTATGAAGTTTACAAAACACACAATATTGATTATTGGTCAGATAGTTTTAGATTTCCACATATTCTAGTTTAATGAATTTCAACAGTGATGTAGTAGCATAATTGACCTTCATAGTACTTGCATTATCCTTATTGAGTATTTGACGCGATGATACATGCAATCATGTTGACCTGCGTGTCTTCACCTAAAAATGCTGTATGCCGCAGCTACAGCAGCAAAGAAGTTGAAGTTGAAGGCGTTCAACATATATACAAAGTAGTTTGACAGCGGAGATGGACTAGACATTGACCCATTGCTATCTCCGTAATTTCCTTTGGTAGATTATAAATCTAGTCAACTCACGCACAAATCTTAATTTATGTGGGAGATTTGAATGTATTAATTTTTTCTGCTGTTATGTTAATAATAACATTTTAAAGTATTTTTCAATGCTAAAATTTTCAGTGTTATAATAATAAGTGGGAGAGTTATACAATTCTCGAATTGCGATTCAAATCATGTCCAGAATTAGAGGTCGTTGGTAAATGTAGACAAAGATCCCGGCAAATTCCGCGGGAAGTTTCATCCGTTGAGCACGTTTGGCCATGATGAACACGATGTACATGTGCCAGTTTTTTCAAGCACCTTGAATGTCGTTGAATTTAGTTGACACTTGCATGCTCTGGGTAAGGAATTGTACACCATGTAAAAGTGTTTGATGGTTATGAAATTCATCCGTCTTCTTTTAAGTAGTGAAATCGGAGGGAAGAACCAAAGAAATTTCTTAGTTTGGAAAAGGTTGTCGGACCATCACATGCATCAAGACTTTGCAGTAGCAAATGGCCCAATATGGAACATTTGGGCAAAAGTCCATCACATTTCTTGTTGAATTTCTACTCCCACATTATGGTGAACTGGTGGAGTATATCCGTTTAAGAGGATGACATGTTTGAAGACCTTCCAGTTTGACCTCAAAACTTTCTCTAGAGTCATATATTTGAGCTTTCCTGCTAAACAAAAGGCTTAGACCTTGAGAAATAATCAATATGACTACTCAAGTTTACTCCATATTGAGAGTGTGTTTGATACAATTTTGCATTCTGCACCTCAGTCTTGGACTTGATTCATTTTTCTTTATACTTGTAAGTTTTCTCTTAAAACATTTTTTTAAAATATATTGATAAATTAGGCGCATATCCAAGATCTACTCCTTGGATAATCTAATCTGATTTTCATTTCTTTTCAACAATGTTTGAGTGATTTCAAAGTGTTCCTATTTCTTTAAGATATAGATGCATATTCAAGAGGTTTTTATAGAAGATGTATTGTGTTTTTCATCTTTCTATCAGCTCTTTCAAAACAAGGGTTATATTCAATTATACCTTCATACATCTTCACTAGCAAGAGGTTCAACTTTTAATGGCTTACCTTCTCCAATTGATAACATTTGAATTGTAATCGATTTTTCTAATTTCATTAATTATAATTAATTCAAATGTATAGCATTCACATCAAGCATTATGCCTCAAGTTAATTACTGAAGGATTTTGTAATGCATAAAAATTGACATATCCTATGTGTTAGCATGATAAATATTACAAAGTTTTTTCCATCAAATTTTAGAATTTTTACCTCATGTTATTATTTATTTTTGCAACATTGATAGCAATATTCATTTATTTCTCATCACTATTGAAAAGATAATTCAAAATTATTCAAATCCTATATAAGTATATATGAAATTTTCAATAAATATTTTTCAAAGACTTATAATATGCACAAAATGTTAAAAAATTTATCAAACTTGCAATTATTATAACGAGTAAATGTCTTGTATTGCATATTATTGAATTGCATTATGATATATTCTGTTATATGTCAATGATTTATGGAGAAAACTGGAACTCAATGTAGCGTTATTATAACTTTAAGATATGTTGCTATAAAATTTAATATAGGAAATAATTAAACTATATATTTATTTACTAGACTATTCATCAAGTTTTGGAAATTACTTCAGTTCTTGATTAGCTCTTGTTAACTTATATTGGTTAGACTAGAGTAGTTTGTTATTATATGTCAGAGGTAGTCATAGCTCTCTAGGATAGAAATTAGGATTTTTTAACTAACACTTAGATGTTTTTGTGCATGTAGTTTGGAATATTGAAACACATATATTTCATTATCGGCTATTTGTTTATATTTTTTTGTGTATAATGCCCTACAATTAATGATCTAATCACTTTGTACTTTGCTACAATAGCATTTCACGTTGAAACTTTTTATCAAAATTTGTGACAATATATCATTGCATAGCAAAAAAAAGGCTGACAACGATGTGATTAAATTCTGATCATTTATTTGATCGAGCAAGTATCAAATGAGATAAAAAGCATTGAATGAAGTTTATCTTTTTCATGTGAAAGTTGAAATATAGAAAAAAAGAAACGAGGAATTTTTGAATTCAATCAATTATTTTTTAATTGTTATATTCAAAATTATAATTATGTGTGTATTTGTTATAGAATTAATCAAAAGTTGACTATGATTATCTTAGTGATAACAAAATTTAAGTATTTATGTTTAAGTACAATTATTAAATGCACTTGGTAAAATTAATAACATATCTTTTCAAAATGATTGATGTTCACCACTTTGTTTTTTTTATCAATAATTACATTTCAAAACAAATAATACTTTGAATATATGTTGGGTTTGATTGGTTTAAATAAGTATAATATCCTTATAGCAATGTGCATTTCATCAAAGTGAATTGTGGCAAAAACAAGCGTATATGCAAGGGTTTGAACATTAAGATCGCCGTGTGCAATGACTTGTCAAGAAATGCTGGTGATCTCAACCAACAATTTTAGACTAATGACCTTGGCATCGGCCGTTTGAAATGATTCTGAGTGCAGAGTAACCGACGTAAGCTTTGATCTCCAAAACTGATTTTGATGTAAGGTCGTTCAAATTTTGGTCATACTTCATTAGCTTCCGTTCCCACAAACCTTCATACCTTGTTCTATCATGAAAAGAAAATTAGTAAGGCAAAAAAAACTATCACTGCAATACACGTTTGCCTTGAGGCAAAACAAAATGTCTTGCGGCAAACCACTCAAATGCGAGGATTTCATTCTACGATTCAATTCAGATTGCAGTTCTGAAAGAAACAAGCCAATGTGTTAATGTACTTTTCAAAACACTATTTTGAGTAGTTCCTCTGAAAAACTCCTTCACAAACTAGACAAAAGATCCAACTCATTTTTCACCTTTGCGTTTCGGTTTGAGAATCTTCAAGATAGATTATCAATTCTTGCTTTCTTTGAAAGGAGGAAACAGTATTCATGTTGACTGTTACAGATGTGAATGGTTGGCATGTTGGCTTGAAGATTGACTATTTATTCTTGCTATCTTCGAAAGGAGAAGACACAATTTGATCAATTGCAATTGCTGTTAAAATTCAATACAAAATCAAAACAAGGTCAAATCATGCTCTTATGTAATAGCTTTGATTATGTTGCTACCAACCAAAATGCAACATACATTTTAAATCAAGATTGATGAAGTAATATCGAGAGGTTTCAACTCGAAGTTGTATAACTTTTTTGATTGATTTTCATTATACTTCGCACCTTTGCAAAGCATCATCAAAATTGCACTTCTCAAACCTCAACTTTGTATATCCATGGAGATCTGTAGATGAGTGAAAAAGTAAAT